AGACCGAGAAGGGTGCTCCATTGCCCACACGGAACGGATGCCAGCCTCGACGACCGCCCAAGGCAGGTCGCCATACTCGTTGGCCTCGTGCTTCCTCCTCGCGTTCTCCAGCCGTGCCTCCAGGGTGTCCACCACCCCCGTGTCACCTACGGCGCCTACCATCGTGACAACCGCACAGCTGCCGGCCTACGAACAACTTAGGTAAGGTGCAACTAAGTCGACTAGACTGAAAGGTAAGTCGTGTGCCGTCCACGCTCACCGCACCATGCGGAGATAACTATAGCAACGGGAGCTAGACTACGGGCTAGGCACGGGTGCTCGTGTGATCTCTGCGTTCCTTGTTCCTTAGTCGTTTTCCTAGTGCACGCACCGCTTGCCAGTTCACGGGGCAATTTTGGCAAGAGTTTCACTAGAGAAAGTTGACAACAATGATACAATGAAGTTGGCAAGGCTAGACTACATCAGAGCTAGCATGCAAGCAAGCCTACTGCCAGCGCAGCACGGTCGACCGCGTGCCAGCACGACTTGGTCGACCGCGCTCCAACAGTGCAGAGTCGCGGCTTGCCAACACTGCAAGTCGACGGCATGCCAACGTCGCAGGTTGACGGCGTGCCAACGTTGCTCCCGCAGGACAGCAGCGCACCTACTTCGCAGGTGCTCGCAGACGATTGGCGTGCAGTGCCTCGTCACCTGCACAACGCACACACCACGTCAACTTCGTGCTGACGACTGCTTCTGATCAGCCACGTCGACCTCGGGATACCACCACCGAGGTCGTCCTCGCCAACGTCGCCTGGGCGACCGTCGCGTGCCTCCGCAGAACCTCGTCACCCAGGAAACCTGGTCGACCGGGCAACCAAGTCGACCAGCTGCTCCTGTGCATGCCCGTCGACCTCCCAGGTCGACGACCACTCCAAGTCGACCTCACCAGGTCGACCACACCCTCTGGTCGACCAGCTCCAGGTCGACGTCACTCCTGGTCGACCAGCTCCTCGTCGACCAGCATAGTTGTCAGCCGACCCCAAAGTTGGCACCCGAAGTCGGCGTCACCAAGTTGACGCCCTGCTACTCGACGCCCAGTAGCTCGGCGTCCTGAATCCCTTTGTCGTGGTCGACGTCGTCCCCTCCTTCGTTGACCACCATGTTTGGTCGACCCCCCAGGTCCACGCCTGGTCGACCAGTGCCCAAGTCGACCAGCAGGCCTGGTCAACCAACCAGGTCGACCAGCAGCTCTGTTAGCCGACCACCCAAGTCGGCTGCCCCAAGATGGCGTCACCAGGTCGACGCCCCCCTGCAGGTCGACTTCCCAGGTCGACCACCCGAAGTTGGCGCCCTCCCGAAGTCGGCGCCCTTGCAGTGGCTCCCGTGCAGGTCGACCAACCCCGTCGACCAGCTCGCCCACTGCTGCAGGTCGGCTGCACCCCTACACCCGACCATGAAGTCGGCTCCGCCCAAGCGAGGACAGGGCCAAAACACAACCATGAAGTCAACTCCCGTTGACTCCCTACACCCACCCCTACACCCAACCATGAAGTCAACTCCCGTTGACAGCGCCGAACATTTCTGTGAGCACGAACCAAGCTGAAAATGCTCTGGTAGGTGTATTTGAACATGGGCCACCCAAATATGCAACAACATTCAGGTCGTTAGGTGCTTTTCCCTACGCCTATAAGGAGCCATGTGCTTTCTAGCATTTGTCGGCAGACACTACCGTCATCGCAGGCGCCGACATTTTTTGTGCGCACGAAACAAGTAGAAAGTGCTGGTAGGTGTATTTGAGCATGGGCCACTTGAATATGCAACAACATTCAGGTCGTTCGATGCTTTTCCCTACGCCTATAGGGATCCATGCGCTTCCTTAGCATTTGTCAGCGATACGGTCGTCACCGCGGACGTCGAACTTTTCCTTGCGCACTAACCGAGATGAAATTGCTCTTGTAGGTGTATTTAAGCATGGGTCATCCGAATATGCAACAACGTTCAGGCCGTTCGATGCCTTTCCCTACGCATATTTGGATCCATGTGCTTCTTTAGCATTTGTCGGCAAACACAGCTGTCATCGCAGGCGGTGAATTTTTCTGTGCGCACGAACCAAGCTCAAATTGCTCTGGTATGTGTATTTGAGCATAAGCAACTCAAATATGCAACAACATTCATGTCGTTCAATGCTTTTCCCTACGCCTATAGGGATCCACGCGCTTCGATACCTTTTGTCGGCAGACACATCCGTCATAGCAGGCGCCAAACTTTCCTGTACACACGAACCAAGCTGAAATTGCTCTTCTTGGTGTATTTGAGCATAAGCCACCCGAATATGTAACAACATTCAGGCTGTTCGATGCGTTCCTTTACGCCTATAGGGATCCATGCGCTTCGTTACCATTTGTCGGTAAGACACTGCCGTCATCGCAGGCGCCGAACGTTTCTGTGCGTATAAACCAAGCTGAAAGTGCTCTGGTATGTGTATTTGAGCATAAGCTACCCGAATATGCAACAACATTCAGGTCGTTTGATGCTTTTCCCTACGCCTGTAGGGATCCATGCGCTACGTTACTTCGGTAGATACAGCCGTCATCGTAGGCGCAGAACTTTTCTGTGCTCACAAACCAAGCTGAAAGTGGTTTGGTAGGTGTATTTGAGAATTTGCCACCCAAAAATGCAATAACATCATGTCGTTCGATGCTTTTGCATACGCTTATATGTATCTATGCGCTTCCTTAGCATTTGTCGGCAAAGACTGTCGTTATCGCAGACGCCGAACTTTTCCTTGCGCACGAACCGAGATGAAATTGCTCTGGTGGATGTATTTGAGCATGGGCGGAAGCAGCAAGTGGAGCATGTAGTCGAGCCGACGCGCGTCGCTAACAGGTGTGCAGGGAAAAACCGTTGGCAGACAGAAAACTTATTTATGAAGGTGCCAACCAGGGCTGTCGAAGTAAGGGCATTTGCTCGACTGAGATGCCCTAAACATTCCGTTCTTACCTTCAAAGCAGCTCGTATATTTCATGTGTTAGATTATCATGGCGCCCATCACGTTCTGTCAAATTATATATGTGTAGGCTGTAGCGGGGTAGCTAGTATGGGGTATAGCCCCTTTAGGGTTTCATACTTGTACCCAACTTTGACCTAGTTCATTCATTCCTGCTAGTCTTTCTGACACGTTCCTGTGTCGACACAAATTGCTCTATGCCCTTTTTCCCGAGTCGCATTTACACATTTTGTCAACATCGCGTTACAAACTTCAAATGTATCGCGACTGTAGGCGACCGAGCGAAATGTACAGTTGTGCGCATTTTATTGGGCCTTCACCAATGACTGTACATCCGTTTTTTCAATCGCTCGGCTGGGTTGTGGTCCCGCGCGAAATTGGCATTGGTGGGTGTCCAGATGCATTGACATTTCGAACCGCGTGCGAATTTTTTGACAGTGATGGGTCAATTTGCAACTCATTCGCGATGTCAGCGCTTTTCAAGCTGACCAATGAAAAATACAGTACTGGAACACAAAAACGCGACTCGCATTTGGGACACAATACAGTTTATGCTGTTTTGGGGTGTCACAAAGTGTTTAAGACACAAATGTCGATACAGGAATGTACCTTAAGGGCGCGTGCGATCTTTTTTCGAACTTCCGAATGTTCGAAATTTTAGAAAGGTTATACACGGTGAAACACAATTGATAGATTTTCGTCACGGTGCAAAGCGGCTTAGAACTTTGACCAAGAACCAAATATCACATGCCGCGCCCTAAGTGTCTCGTTTGAGCCTTCCCCCGAATCCAAGTTTTGGTTTGAGTTTCATAGGACCCCAGCCCTTTCCCCCCTTCTCTGGATGTTTTTTGCCCACGATGTAGAGGGTGTAGGTGAGTTGATGCGAAGTTATAATGCACTTATGAGAAGTAATTGGTTTAGGAATGTTACGGGCGCAATTGAGTGAGCGAGCGAGAATTGCACTATCGAAGCAAGAGTACAATGAGCGAAGGCATGAGCGAAGAATATATAGCGAAACTACAGTGGTAACGGTAATGTGTGGAAATTGGGGTGCGCGACGGGCCTAGCGCCGAGGGTGGGAAATGCCGAGGCGGAGGTCCGGAGCGCGGGTTACCAACCGAGCCGTGAGGTTGGGTCGTAGCGTGAACAGTGGCGGGAACAGTGTCGAGGCGAGTGTCACGAATGGTAACGGTTTACTGTTGAGTGCTGGTGGCAAGAAGAGTGGTGTACGCGCTGAGAAGGGACGCGGAGTAACGAAAAGGAATTTTCCTTAGGGATGAAGTAAGCTTCTACACTTGGGGCTGCATCCTGAAGTGGCCCAGCTAGTTAGCTGGTTCACTTCCGAAAGATGAGGTCCCGGGATCAAATCCCCCCTGCGGCGTTTACAGCCAGTCCCCACTAAAAGGGACTACACAGGTGCTCATCTGGGAATGGATAGATCAACCTCGCTACCCAGCGAGGCGTGTAAACACATGGGGAGGCGGGTTACGACCGAGAGCCGGGGTAATACCAAAGGGGGTTTCCCCTATAACTTTACTTCTACACTTGGGGCTGCGCCTGTTAAGGGGGGATTTACTGTTCACTTTGAACAGTACTTTCCAACTCACCCTTATCCTTATCTTCCTAGATTTCCTAGTGCCACGTGGCACTCTACTTTGTTTGCCTTCCAATTCCTAGTCCCACATTCTACTTTCCAACATTCCTCCTTGCATGCTATATAAACCTTGCTTGTATTCCCTCATATCAACCAATTCTCATTCAACTCTTCTTCAATTACTCAGTTACTTCTTCGCCTATTTCGCCAACACTCTCTTTCGCCAAAGTCTTCCGCCGCGTTTATCCTCGACTTAGTCGACCCCGCTAATTCTTTAGCGGACTTAGGCCGTCGGGCCTAACACTTGGTATCAGAGCCTTCGCGGGGAGCGACTTCCAACGAGCGACCGTCGACGACGAGACTACGACGTCATCGTCCCGCGGTGCCGACTTGCAGACTTGGAGTCGTCGAGCCAACATGGACGAGACCATGAACGCTCTCCCCCAAGACATGGGCAACGCGCTTGCCGAACTCATGCGCCAACTCGAGCAACTGACGCTGGAAAATCGTCAGGTACGGGCCGAAATGCAACAACTTCGTAATTTGGCTTCTAACCCCCATGGCCTTGCCGCACCAACTCCTGCACCCACCACGTCGACTGGCGCGGAAGCGCTGCCGGAACGTCGAAGCGCGCTCAAGCCGCAGAAGCCCGAGTCGTTCGACCCGAGCCAACGCGACGCGAACGTGCGGACGTGGCTCTTCATGCTCAACAACTACTTCGCCGCGAGCGGGGTGCAAGAGGCGGACGCGCAGCAGCGGATCGAGTATGCCGTGACGCTGTTGAGGGGGCCGGCCTTGGAGTGGTGGCGCCAACTTACGCAGACTGCTGTTAGAAGGGCTCAGACGGACGGGCATCAACAGGGCGTGGGGCATGCAGCTGCAACTTCGAGCTTAGGGAGTTTAGCTTTGGGTGTTACCACGGTTCCGACGACATGGGAAGGATTTGAAGCGGCGCTGAAAAGTAGGTTCGATTTGGTGAACGCCTCCGAAGCTGCTAGGAAGCGTCTGCGTCATTTCCGACAGATAGGAAACGTCCAGGAGTACACACGACGGTTCTTGAGCATCTGCAACGAGATAGACGACATCACGGAAGCAGAGATGCGCGATCGCTACCTCGAAGGGTTGAAGCCGGACATAGCGGAGGTCATAGCGATTCACGGGTTGTCCACCTTCGAGTCAGTTGTCGCAGCAGCAGAACGCGTCGACGCAGTACGAAGCCGACGGGGTCGTGACGATCGCGATAGGGGATACAACAGACCGATCAACGACGCTCGATCGAGGGACGGACCATCGCCCATGGAGATTGGTGCAGTTAATAGTGACGGCTCACAGCGAACGGGTTTTAGGGGGAACTGTCACTACTGCAAAAAGCCGGGACACATGAAGCGGGACTACCCACAGCTTAAGGAGCGGCAGCAGGGAAACGGAAACCGCCAGTAGATAGCGGGTCGCTAGCTGGTGTGGAGGCTTCCGTACCCGCCAAGTCTACCGACGTAGAGGAGACAGCTCTGGAGCAGTCATCTACGGAGAACGGGGTAGACACTGTTGATCGTCCCATCGTGCTTCTAGGGAAGCTTCGCGGAGTTCCTGTTAAGATTCTCGTCGATAGCGGAGCTAGCCACTCGTTCGTTTCCTCTTCGCTAGTTAGTCGTCTCCATCTTGAAGCAGATTCGGCAGTCAACTTCAAGGATGCTCGCATGGTAGATGGGACGCCACTCCACATAGGACCGATCATTCGCAAGTTGCGCGTAGTGCTAGGACCGATCACAGTTAGGCGTGATTTCGACTCTGCGACGCTGGACGGATACGATTTCATCTTCGGGAGAGATTGGCTACGCACGGTTAGTACTCAGTTCGATTGGGCTCAGGGAAGCTGCAGTGTCAAGGTAGACGGGGAGTTCCGGGAGCTGCCACAGTGGAGCGATGGGGCCACATCATCCACAGCTATCATTAATGCTGTTCGTGTGCGACAGTTAGTGAAGCGTGCGGCACGGATCTTCGCGGTTTTCCTTGAGGAGGTGGAAGCTGAGGAGGGGAAAGGAGGGAGTGCAGCAGTTAGTGAGAAGGCGACTCTTCCTGCTGAGGTGAGTGCACTGTTAGCAGAGTTCGCAGACGTCTTCCCCGACAAATTGCCCCCAGGGTTACCTCCCAGCCGAGCAGTAGACCATCGAATAGAGTTGGAGCCGGGGAGCAGGCCAGTAGCGAAGCCGCAGTGGAGGTTGAGTCCAGCAGAGACAGAGGAGATGACGCAGCAGGTTAGGCACTTCCTAGCACAGGGGTTCACTCAGCCATCTAGATCGCCATGGGCCGCACCGATCCTGTTCGCGCCTAAGAAAGACGGAGGGTTACGGATGTGCATAGATTACCGCGCACTGAACGCCGCCACCGTCAAGAATAGATTCCCGGTGCCGAGAGTAGAGGATCTTCTCGATGCAGTGCAGGGCGCTAGAGTCTTCTCCAAGATCGACCTTCGTTCGGGTTACCACCAGATTCGCGTAGTTCCAGAGGACCAGCACAAGACGGCGTTTCGTACGAAGCAGGGGTTGTACGAGTTTAGGGTTCTACCGTTCGGTTTGACCAACGCCCCAGCGACGTTTCAGACGCTCATGAACACCGTCCTCTCAGAGTTCCTAGGTTCGTTCGTTGTCGTTTACCTAGACGACATCCTGATCTTCTCCAAGTCGAAAGAGGAGCACGTGCAGCACTTGCAGAGGGTCTTTGAGGTCTTGCGGAGGGAGAAGCTGTACGCGAAGCAATCGAAGTGCGGGTTCTTCCTCCCTGAGGTCGAGTTTCTAGGTCACGTCGTTTCCGCTAGTGGCATTAGGACCGACCCGAAGAAGATCGCAGCAGTACAGGATTGGGTAGCACCGACCTCAGTCAAGGAGTTGCAGAGCTTCCTCGGTTTCGCGAATTACTACCGTCGTTTCGTTCAGGGTTACGCTTCCATCGCTAGTCCACTCACCGACCTACTTCGGAAGGGCGTAGAGTACGTTTGGGGTCCAGCGCAGCAGCAGGCGTTCGAGCAGATGAAGCAGTCGCTCACGTCTTCACCGACACTGTCGTACCCCGATCCCACTCGCCCGTACGTTGTAGTGACCGACGCTTCAGATCAGGCCATAGGTGCAGTGCTTCTTCAGGACCAGGGACGCGGGTTGCAACCGATCGCGTACGAGTCGCATAAGCTTAGGGGAGCAGAGCTGAACTATCCGATTCACGACAAGGAGGCGCTCGCGATCATCCATGCGTATAAGGTGTGGAGGTGCTACCTAGAGGGGGCAGATAGTGTTATACGCACGGTCCACCACCCGACCGCCCTTGGCAGGTAGTTACGATGGACTTCATCATGGCATTACCGCGCACAGTTAGGGGTCACGACGCCATCTTCGTGGTAGTGGATAAGTTTTCTCGAGCAGCGCACTTCATCCCCACGCACAACCAGGTCACAGCAGAGGAAGCCGCGACGCTGTTCGTAGATAACGTAGTCCGACTGCACGGGGTTCCCGATTCCATCATCTCAGACCGCGACCCTAGATTCACCTCGAAGTTCTGGAAGCAGCTTTTCGCACTGTTTGGGACTCGCTTAGCCATGTCGTCTGCGTACCATCCAGAGACAGACGGACTGACTGAGCGTGTGAACCAGACTTTGGAGCAGATTCTTCGCAGCATCACGATGCACGACGCAGCAGCATGGGACAAGAAGCTGAGCATGGCAGAGTTCGCATACAACAACACGCACCACTCCGCCACAGGCATGTCACCGTTCTTCGCACTGTACGGTCAGCACCCCAATGTCCCCACTCGTGTCGATCTCACACCCACTGTCCCTCGTGCGGACAACTTCCACCAGCATCTCACCTTCATTCACGACCACGTGAGGAAGCACCTTGAGCTCGCTAATGCACGCATGGCACGCACCACCAACCGCAGTCGTCGTGAGGTGTCATTCGCAGTCGGCGACCGTGTTCTTTTAGACAGCTGCAACCTCCGACTGCCACAGGACAGCAAGCTTCGCCCACGCTTCATTGGTCCATTTGTCATTGAGCGCGCACTTGGTCCAGTCGCATACCGCCTCCGCCTTCCCGCTCATTTCCGCATGCACCCGTCATTCCACGTGTCTCTCCTTCGTCCATACACCGATCCCAACTCCACCTTCTCGGGCCGTGATCGCACTCCACTGCCGGTAGCTGTTGACACCGACGAGCCCGACTACCAGATCCAGCACATCCTCAGGCACCGTCGTCGTCTCCAGGGAGGTGTCTCCTTCGTTGACTTCTTGGTTCGTTGGCGTGGTTACGATGCAGCCGACGACAGCTGGGTTCCTTCGTCCTCGCTGTCTCCCGACAACGCTTGCCTCCGAGCGTACCTTCAGTCTGCAGGCGCCGCGGACGTCGCCTCCTTGGGAGGGGGGTAGTGTTAAGGGGGGATTTACTGTTCACTTTGAACAGTACTTTCCAACTCACCCTTATCCTTATCTTCCTAGATTTCCTAGTGCCACGTGGCACTCTACTTTGTTTGCCTTAAAAATCCCAGTCCCACATTCTACTTTCCAACATTCCTCCTTGCATGCTATATAAACCTTGCTTGTATTCCCTCATATCAACCAATTCTCATTCAACTCTTCTTCAATTACTCAGTTACTTCTTCGCCTATTTCGCCAACACTCTCTTTCGCCAAAGTCTTCCGCCGCGTTTATCCTCGACTTAGTCGACCCCGCTAATTCTTTAGCGGACTTAGGCCGTCGGGCCTAACAGCGCCCGTGAAAATCAGTGTTGGTCCTGGGCATGGTGCCAGGTGCCAAGGCACTCGAGTGCTGGGGATGGGGGGAAGTGCTTGTTGCTGTGTTCGTTTCGCAGAATTATTTCGTCGAACAGTTACCAGCAGGTTTCGCCTGTCTTGAACCCGCCTCGGTTTCTTCCCAGCAAGTTACGGAGTCAGTTCTCGGGGGCATCGTCGTCCGGGTTACAATGCGCAAATTTGGGGAGGGGGACGTGGTTGGCCGCTGACGAAATCAGTTCACTTCGTCACCGTCGCCATTCACTAGTCCTGAGCTGTGGAGCCAAACCGCTAACCTGCCAGGCCCTAGCTCGGGCACCGTTGGGGGAACAATCCAGGAGGACCCCCAAATCTTTGTGACCGCAATCGGCGGTTGCATCTAGAACCAGCTTAGTGTCGTTAGTTACGCTGCAGATTCTACCTTCTCTTGGCCAACCTCGGCACACCTTCCCACAGTCCGCCAGCCTCTTACCCCGCCGTCCCTGTCTGAACTCTTCCATTCATTTTCTGCGTTCGCTCTACTCGCCGGAGCGCCTGGGCGGCGGTCTCATTCCATTATCCCTGGTGTGGGCCCATCGGGCGCGGCGCGAATGGGCGACGTGGAGGAGGAGGAGAGCCGGCGGCTGGAGGACTTTTACACGCTGCACGAGGTGCTGGGCACGGGCGGGTTCTCCGTGGTGCAGCGCGCCGAGTCCAAGGAGGACGGCACGGCGGTGGCGGTGAAGACGCTGAAGAAGCACGGCGGGCCGAGCGTGTCGAACGCGCTGGTGGAGAACGAGATCATGGTGATGAACCGCATCGTGGACGAGGTGTCGCCGCACCCCAACGTCATCCACCTGGTCGACGTCTTCGAGGACGCGCACTGCATCCACCTCGTGCTCGAGCTCTGCTCCGGCGGCGAGCTCTTCGACCGCATCGTGCAGCAGGAGCGCTACTCCGAGGCGGGCGCCGCGCTCGTCATCCGCCAGATCGCCAACGGGCTGCGCAGCCTGCACGCCGCGCGCATCGCGCACCGCGACCTCAAGCCCGAGAACTGCCTGTTCCTGACGGCGGCGCCCGACGCGCCGCTGAAGATCATGGACTTCGGGCTGAGCTCCATCGAGGGCGAGACCAGCCCGCTCGTCGGCCTCTTCGGCTCCATCGACTACGTCTCGCCCGAGGCGCTCTCCCGCCGCGAGTCGCGCGCCGCCGGGGACATGTGGTCGCTGGGCGTCATCCTCTACATCCTGCTCTGCGGGTGCGCGCGCTAATGGGGGAAGGGGGGAGGGGGATAGAGGTTTGGGGGAGGGGGAGGGGATGCCAGGGTGAGCGCAGGCGAAGGGGCAGGGGCAGGCGCAGGCGCAGGAGCAGGCGCAGGGGCAGGCGCAGGAGCAGGCGCAGGGGCAAGCGCAAGGCAGGCGCAGGCGCAAGGGCAGGGGCAGGGGCAGGGGCAGGGATAAGGGGGGGAGCAGAGGCAGGGACAAGGGCAGGGGCAGGCTCAGGGGCAAGGCAGTGGGAAGCGCTGCGGCAAGGGCAGGGGCAGGGGCAGGCGCGGGCGCAGGGGCGGGGTGGGGAGAGGCGGGGGTAGGGGAGGGCGCATGCCCGGGAGGCGGATGCCTTGGCAGAGGGGGTGCATACTCTGTGGGCGGGAGTTTTGGGAAGGGGGTTGCACACTGTGTGGGTGAATAGGATGCGCGCCCAGGGAAAAAGTGCTGAACGGGATGGGCTGGGGTGTGCCAGTGTGCGAATGATGCTGGTGCCGTTCATTGTGGCCTCAGCTGTGAGTGGGCGAGGTGCAGCGATCCATTCTCCCTCATGCCCGGTACCTGATGCCCCATGTGTGGTGTGTGGTGCGTGCGTGGCTGTGCGTGCAGGTACCCGCCCTTCCATGCACTCAACAACCGTGCCAAGCAGCAACTCATTCTCAACGTCAGTCCCCCATCCTCCCTGCGCCTCTCATGCCTTATCATTCCCTTCCTGCTGCAACAAGTCATTATGCCCCTATGCCACTGCTATCCCGAGGGGTTCTGGGAATGATGTGACATGACGTGGCATGGTGTGGTGTGTGCATGGTGTGTGTGCGTGGTGTGTGCGTCTGGCAGGCGAGTTTTGACTTTGAGGAGTCGACATGGAGGAGCATATCGCAGTCAGCCAAGCAGCTTGTCACCAGCCTGCTCACCGTCGACCCCTCCAAACGACCCACCGCCGCTGAGGTAAGCCCCTCCCCCAAGTAAGTCCCTCCCCCAAGTAAGTCCCTCCCCCAGCAAGTCCCTCCCCCAAGCAAGACCCTCCCCCAAGCAAGACCCTCCCTCTCCACCATCCACTCCCGCCCCCCATCCCCATCCCCTGTCCATGTGCCCTGTGCTACACTAACACTCCTGACATCTCCCCTACCCCCTGGGGTGCCGCTGTCCCCTACCCACTCGCGCGCCCGTGGCAGCTGCTGCTGCACCCGTGGGTGAAGGGCGACGCAGCGAGGCAGGAGCCGATGGAGCCGGAGGTGTGCCGGCGCTTGCTCACCTTCAACGCTCGCCGCAAGTTCCGAGCGGCGGCGTATGCGAGTATCGTGAGCAACAAGCTCATGCTGCGCACACGGGCGCTGCGGAACATCCTGGGTGGATTCGACACACTCAATGAGACGGAGCTCAAGGACCTTCACACACACTTCAAGAGAATGTGAGCTGCACACACACTTCAAGAAAATGTGAGCTGCACTCATGCATGCACGCACACGCACACGCATGCACACGCATGCGTACACGCAAGAAACCCATTACAAATCTTGCACCCGCTTCTTACCTTCACCAATTTGGTGCTATTCACTGACCTGCACCGCCTGCTTTCCCCACTGAACCCCACCCACGGGCCCCTTTTCCCGTTTCCCTCCGCGCATGCTGCTCAGATCGTCAAGTGGCACGAGTGTGACGGTGGCGGAGTTTGAGGACGTGCTGAGGGCCATGGGCATGGGTAGCCTGGTGCCGATGGCGCGGCGCGTGTTTGAGGTGTTTGACAGTGACAAGAACGGCTCCGTCGACATGAGGGAGATCGTCTGCGGCCTCGCTGCCTTCCGCAAGTCCCAAGGCGACGACGCCCTCCGCCTCTGCTTCAAGGTCCGTCTCTGTCTCTGTCCTTATGCTTCAAGGTCCGTCTCTGTCTCTATCCTTATGCTTCAAGGTCCGTCTGTCTATGTCGTGCGCCTCTGCTTCAAGGTTGGTCTCTGTCTCTGTCCTTATGCTTCAAGGTGGGCCTCTGCTTCAAGGTGCGCCACTGCTTCAAGGTATGCCTCTGCTTAGGTGCGCCTCTTTTTAGGCACCTTCATTCTAGATGTCCTAGTCTTTGCGAGTCACGTGGGGATTGACGTTGGGATTGAGGGGAGAAAAGTGGGGGGGGTGGTTGGGGGAGGGGGTTTTGAGGGGGGTTGCAGTGCACGCGGCAATGGACGGTGAGGGCTGCCTTGCACACTGCTCATACCCACCCAGTATGCCCTGCAATCTGGGCTCCACAAGAAACACCCTGTGAAGCAAATCGTGAAGGAATGGTCAGTGGTGCATCCGTTGAGAGGGTTGCTTCGCTGAGAGACTCAAGCTGCCTTGCCTCCATCCATTTCCCCTGTGCCACTCACCCCTCTCCACGGCATGCAGATGTACGATGCGGATGACTCCGGATACATTTCAAAGGACGAGCTCGCTGCTATGCTCAAGGTGAGCTCGCTGCCATGCTTGTGTCTGGTTTGAAATGGTTTTCAATAGATGAAACTGAGCTTGTTCAGGAGCGCTTTCCACCCAGCAGTGTATCTGCACTATTTTGTACCAACGCACCACTGGCAGAAACCTGAGTTACAGCCTTTGAGACAAACAGGTGCGCTGGTTACATTGCCATGTCTCATCACCCCTCACTCACTCATCACTGGATTGCTGAACTCATGCTCTGCCCAACCCGTGCTCTGCTCTGCCCAACCCCCACGCTCTGCTCCCTGCTGCACATGTGCTTGGCTTACATGGCATGGCATGACATGGCATGGCGTGGCATGGCACGGCATGGCTGGCATGGCATGGCATGGCATGGCATGGCATGGCATGGCAGGCGCTACCGGAGGACTACCTACCCCCGGACATTCTAGAGCCGGGCATACTGGACGAGTTCTTTGACCGCATGGACGCCAACTGTGACGGGCGGCTCAGCTTCGACGAGTTCAAGGCCGCCATCCACGCCGACCACTTCCTCGTTGATGCGCTCCTGCAGCCCGCCCGCGGGGAGTCGCCCGCCGCCCGCCCGCCGCCCAAAGGGGAGTCTCCCCTGTTCCGCCAACACCAGTGGTGACACGCGAGCATGCCGCCCTGCTTGTGCGTTTTCTTTACTAAGCGGAGAATCCTGATCCCGTAAAAACATTTCCCATGAGCCAAGTGATTGGCCCACTTGGCCACACCTTCACTAACATTGGCCTGTCAACGGGCACAACTGATGGGCTGGCAGCAACTTACAGTTGTTCCTTTGAGAGCTGTTTAGGTATTTCAGCACGCTGGCAGTTAACGCAAGGAATATATATTGAGAATCTGTACAGTAACATATCCTTTGTCCCATGCTTAAACAAGTGTGCACTGCTGTGTCCTTTCAAGTTTATAAAGAGATTTCTGTTCTCAAGGAGAGGTGGGGCATCAACATGGCATTAGGTGCATGGGAGGTTGGGCTGGGTAGATCTGGCAGGTGCGTTGGTGGGTGCGTAAGGCAGGGGAGAGGGTGCGTGCGAGCATCAGGCGGGGGGCAGGGAGCCGGCAGCACGGAGGTGGTCGACGAACTCGTCTATGAGGTACGGCCAGGCGCCGCCCTCGTCATACTGCTCCAACTGCCCCTGCGTCAGCTGCCAGGGCCCATGAGGAGAGGGAGAATGGGAGGGGGGATGGGGACGGGGGGATGGATTGCTTGAGCATGGCGCATGCAGTGGCACAGGCACATGATGGTGGAGATGGTGCTACCGTGCTACGATGGTAGTCTCCCCAACCAGCAGGGGTCCAGGGGCAGGAAAGGACAGGTGCAGAGAAGGAGGGGCAGGGGCAGGAGCAACATACCCGGGAGAACTCAAAGAGCTGCGACCAGGTGTCCTTGGATATGGCCTTGTTGTGCTGCACCTGCTCCCACCCATGCACGCCATGCAGTGCATATGCAACCATGCAGCCCATGTTATGCCGCATAACATGGCAGTGCGAGTGAGACGTAATAGCCACATAACGCACGGGGATGTGAGCGCAGGGAAGTCTGACTGACGCAGGTTTCCAGAGGCTTCTGTTGATTCACAAATCATTAGCAACCACTGTGTTGTTCCACTCACCATCGCTACTGTCCCATCCTCACCATATCACACCAGCACAACTCACACCAACGTTTTCACTCTCAACCCTACCAACAGCACTCAAGCCCTCATCACCTCACACCACCGTCCCCCCCGTGGCTCACCCTGACGAAGTCACACCAGTGGTCGACGTGTGGCCAGCTGCGGTAGCCCAGCAGCAGCTGCCACATGCCAATGGCCGTGTCCAGCGCCAACCACTTCTGGCCCTGCACAGGGGGGAAAGGGAGTTGCCGAGGGATGGCGGTGAGGGGGAGGAAAGCGTCAGTTGGGGCACATTGCAGAGCACTGGCGGTGCTGTGTGGAGCAGCAGAATCCCAGTGGCCATTCTACTGGACAGACCACGCACGCCGTACTCACCCATGGCTTGCCTCCTCTCACTGACAGTCACACGCCACCTCTCCTCTGCACCACACCCAACCCCTCTGCTGCCATCAATCCCGCCCTGCCCTCCTCGATTCTCTCTCCCTCTCACGCATACCTTCTCTTTGGCCCAGGAGAACGCAAAGTTGTATATTTGGCGGAACACGTCTGCGCAAGATGCAGGCCAGCGAAGGCGAGCGGGATAGTGGGGCGAGAGGGGCGGAGCGTAAAAACATAGAAGCGCAATGAGGCAGTTGAGAGGGATGAGGACGGGAATCGGTGGAGGAGGTGGAGGCAGGCAACTGATGCGACGCCAAGCAGCCAAGAGACCTCAAATGCACCTGCCTGCTACTATGCCTCTTGGCGCGCTACTCACTGCCAATGCATCTGTCTCATCCCTCGCTCATCACTCCCCTCCGTCTCATCTGTGTGCTCACTCTCGTCTTGCAGCTCGCGGCGGAATGATGGCAGCAGCGCCTTCAGCGTCTCCAGTGACGTCACTCTGCCACCACGGGATGTGAGGGCGTGGAAGGGGAGGTGGGGGAATGGGCAAAGGAAGAGGAGAGGCATGTGCGCGGTTGATAAAGGCAAGGGGCGCGTGAGGCCCACTGGCAGAGTAGACAACCCGAAGTGCAGCAAAACTACAACGAAGCACATGACAAGCCTTGGTTTGTCAGTAGCAGCATGCAAGAGGGGATCTCGTGTGGTGCATGCATGTCAGAAGGCACGGGGCTGACCTCAGGGAGCGCAGGCCGGAGGTGAACTCTTGCCGTGAGTACTCGCACATGGTGGCCGCACCCAGATGCCACGACAGCACCAGCTGTGGGGCACACGGCGCACGGGAGAAGGGAACGGAACAGGTATAAGGCTGGCAGTAAGGGTGCACTGCATGCATGCGGGCTAGAAAGATTCAACCAAGAAGCGGCATCCATAGCGGGGAAAAAGAGGCGGTACGGGGTGTTTAAGGGTTGAGAGGAGCAGGGAGAGGCAGCGGGAGAGAGAGCAGGGCGTGGACAGGCTCACCATGACAATGTCCTGTGGCTCCACCTGGTGCCGCCCCCAGGTCAAGGCACATGTAGGCCCATGGCATTGGGGACGGGATGGCATGGTGCGGCACAAAACAGAGAGAAGAGAATGTGAGTGGAGGAGTGAGGAGGAGAATAGTGCGCACGGGCGCGATGAAACATCACGACTAAGGTGACTGATACAATAGTGTAAAAAGTAACTGGGTGCTTGGGAAAGACAAACGGTCAGGCGCAAGCAAGCCGGGAAGTAGAAGAGCGGGCATGGCGAAGAGGCACGTGCAGGACGGCGCGGGCGCACCTCGAGGTCCTCACACAAGCGAGAGATGCCGTCCACGAGAATCATATCTGAATCCGAATCTGATGCAGCACACACCGCAGGGAGAGTGGGGCGGCACACCAGCAGCACACCAACCAGGTTTTAGCTTGCATTGCATTACCGGCACGGCATAGACAGTAGCTTTTATTGAATACATACATCAGCGCTCACCTTTGTAGCGCAGGAAGAGCTCTTGTATGGGATCCACTGGCGGCTGCTGGGGCGCCATTGCATGCCCCCCCTGCTGCTGGTGGTGGAAGTGCGAGCGCCCCGTCAGGGCTGCCAGGAAGCCCCCTCCGCCCCGCGCGGCCATGGGCGCTCCCCCCGCCTGGTAGCGCGCCAGTGCTGGCGCCACCTCCCACTCGCTGCCCTGCAGCGCTGCCACTGCCTCTCGCTCACTGCCGTGTGCGTGAGGGAGGAGGGGGGATGGTGAGATGATGAGATGAGAGGAAGCTGATGAGTGGCATGCGTGGCATGCGTGGCATGGGTGGCATGCGTGGCATGCGTGGCATGGGTGGCATGCTTGGTACAAATGCAAACCCATGCTGGCTGTGACATGGCTAATGTGTGATCGCCAACACGGTGACACCTATCCTAGTGCGCCCCACCTTGCCCCAGTGCTGCTCACGAACTGCTTCACTCGCTCCTTCTGCTGCCGCGTCAACCGGCTCTGCTGCCACACGGCACACACATTCATCACAGGACAGGGCATGGGGCATGGGGCATGGGGCATGTAGAGAAGAGAGGCAGAGAGAGGGAAGGAGAAAGCGCGGGATTGGGGTGCATTACGGATGGGAGAAGCGGATGTACACTGGAAGGGAAGCGACCGTTTCGCATCTAGTCAATGCCGCTGCCACGTGCATCAGCGCCTGGCGGAGCACGTGCAATCCGAGTAAGAAGCGCGTTCTCTCATGTCAAACGTAAAGTGCTGCGCTCCTCCACGCGCCTCACCACATCGTCGTTCTTCCGCGATCTGAACATCCCCGCGCCTCCTGCCTCCCTCCGCGCCTCTGCTCCTCGCGCTTTCGCCCTTTCGCCTCCGCCCTTATGTTCCCCCCTTACCACTCGTCCTCCGCGCCTCTCCTTTTCGTGCCTCTCCGACTTCCCCGCTCCTCTCCGCCAGGCTCAGCGCGCTGCGCCCGCCACCTTCCTAACGAAGGACGAGCCTCCCTCGCGGAAAACCGCGCGACTGCAGCTCGGGGCGCCCGGCGACAACGGCTGCCTGCGCCGCGCTCTGAGTCCGTCGGCGGCCCGCCTCGCGTGTTTCGCAACCGTTGCAGCCCCCCGTTGAGGATTCGACTGACTGACGAATGACGACCGACAACTATCGCTTACGGCTGACGGCTAACAATTGGGGATTGACGTTTGCGATTGTGCGAGTGGGAAGTGTGAAGATGGAGGTGTGTGGGTTGAGGAGGTTCGGTGCAAAACTTGGGACTCGTAGCGGACAATATGGCGTACAAACCGACTTGCGTGACAAATGGACCTCGCTGGTGGGGAATGGCACAATGGCCTACTGGCGAGACGGTTAGACGAAAGCAGCGAGCGGTCTAGTAACAGGCCAACTGTACCACACTTGATCGAATCAAACCAAGCACCACCCTGCCTCCAATTGAACCTGAACCCCGTTGAACGGTCCTTGGGTCCAAACAGAACCCAGTCACACCAGGGAAACTGCGATGCTCCTTCCCGTCCTAGATGTTGGGGCGCACCTTGGTCCGACCAAGTCCTGCCCCTACACGTAAAACCAGCACCACGGTCCGACCGTGCTTCCAACAGGGGTCCCTCCGCCGCCAAGCCGCTAGCGATCACCGCTCTGATCCGCCGCCGCCTTCCCCCCCGCCTAGCCATGGCGGCGCTGCGCCGCCTGCATGCCGTTCCCCGCCCTGCGCCTGCGGTCTCTTCCGCGCTTCGCCCGCATATCCGCCCGTGCTGCCCTCGGCCCGACGCTTCCCCCATCGTGCGCCACTCGCCGTCGCTGCCCGCCCTCTCCGCATCCCCTCGCCGCGCTCCGCCTGGTCCTGCCATCGGCGCGCTTCAGCGGGGAAATGGAACAGCGCAGGGCGGTGGGGGGTTGCGCGGCGGAGAAATCGCAAGGGTGGGGGCGCAATCGGCGAGGGCGGTTGATTATAACAAGGGGATCCGGGACAGACGAATGCGCCGCAAGGGCGGGAAACGTCGGAGCGACAGCGACGAGGGGACGGGGCAGATAGCGGACAACAGTGCGGTGCAGACGCCATTGCCTTCCCAGCAGCTAGTGCAGCCGCTCCCAGAACCCACCGCCTCCGCCTCCTCACCGTCTCTCGCACACCGCCTGCTCTCCCGGCGACGAGCCGCACAGGGGCAAGGGGAGGATTGTGAGAAGAACGCTGAGGGAGGGGGGAGCAGGATTGGCAGGAGCGGCGAAGATGGCAGCAGTGTGGTGGAAGCGGGCACAAGCACCGGCCAGCCGTCGCCATCGCAACGCCCGTCACTGCCGCCGTCGCCGTTCCCGTCGCCATTGCCGCTGACGTCAGCACCAGGTGGAGCAGCAGCCCTGAACCGGAGGCTCGTGGAGGCCACGTGCCTTGCTGACGTCATGCGGGTGGTGGCGAATGAGATGGCTCGCCTGCCCCCACGGCCTGAGTGGGTCGTGGGGGGTACAGGTGCAGTGGACAGCCGCACAGGGATGGGTGGCAACGGGAAAGGGGGGAGGAGGAGCAGGGAAGAGGAGGAGGCAGAGGAGGAGGAGATGGAGGAGGAGAGGAGGGAGATGGAGAGAAGGTGGGAGGAGGCAGCTGCGTGCTCCCTCTTCTCGCCCATCAACGCAGTCACCGCTCTGCACCGCATTGCACGCCACATGCAAGCAGAAAACATGCCTTCGCCCTCCCGTCTGGCCCTGGCCCGCACTCCCCCCCTGCGTCTGCTCGTTGCTGCCGCCCTCCCCGCTGTGCGAGCTGCCCGCTGCAACGCACAGACCCTCTCCAACCTCGCATGGGCGCTCGCGCGCATTGGGGGCGCGGGGGGAGGCGCGGGGGACATGGTTGGGGGAAGGAGGGCGGAGGGGGGAGTAGATGGGCGCGGGGGTGGCGGACGGCGCACATGGGTGTATTCGGAGGAGTTGGATGCGGTGGCAGCAGCAGTGCTGCCCATACAGCACACACTGGCCCCGCAGCACATTGCCAACATCGCTGCTGCCTTCGCCCTCGCCCGCCACCTCCCCCCACCCGCGCTCCTCCCCGCCCTCGCCCACCAAGCCTGCCTCGCGCTCCCCCCGCTCCCCCCCTCCTTCCCAACCGCCCCCGCTCATCCCAGCGGGCGCGCTGTGCTGTCCCCCCACGAGCTCTCCCAGCTGCTGTGGGCCTTCGCCTGCCTGCACCACCCCCTCCCCCCCGCCCTCTCCCGCGCCCTCAACCGCGCCGCCACCTCCTTCTCCCCCTCCCCGCTCCCCCACACCTCCCACACCCCCCCCAAGCAGCGCACGACTGCTGTCTCGCCCCCCTCGCCGTGCCCACTCTCGTGCCTGCAGGCGTGGACGCCCCAGCACGTGGCGAACAGCGTGTGGGCGCTCGCCGTGCTGCAGCACACCCACGGGGCGCTCTTCCACGCGCTCTGGGGGGAGGTGCAACGGCGCCAAAGGCAGTTCTGTGGGGGGGAAGAGGAGGGGGAGGCGGAGGGGGAGGGGGCGGAAGGGGAGCAGAGGGCTAGAGTGGGGGAGCGGCATCTGAGTCAGCTGTTTCAGGTGGCTGTGACTCTCAGGGCGGAGGGGGCAGGGGGCGCAGTGGAAGGGGGGAGAGAGGGGCAGGGGGAGGAGGGCAAGCAGGCGCATGGTGGGGGGAGTGGAGGGGTGAGAAGAGGGCAAGAGGCGGGGGATGGGGGGGCGGGAAGGGGAGAGGGAAGAGCCGAGGAGGGGGCGGATTGGGTGTGGGAGGAGGGGGCGCGTGTGTGGAGGGCGGAGGCAGCGAGGGAGAAGGGGAAGCCGTGCAGCCACTGGGAGGTGGAGCGAGCCCTCTACGCCCTGGGCCTCGTGGCCTGGCGGGGGGACGAGTGGCAAGGGGGAGGAGGGGCGAGAGAGCAGGGTGACGAGGGAGAGGAGGGCGAAGATGGGAGTGAGGGAGGGGAGGCATGTAGGGGGGGCATGGGGTGGGTGTCGGAGTACACATCGCCATGCGTATGGCACTACTCCATTGACATCGCTCTGCCGGGCCAGCGCATTGCACTGGAGGTGGATGGGCCCTCACACTTCACTCGCAACACATGTGCGCTGCTGCCCCCCTCTACCTCTCCTCCCCTTGCTTCATTAATCACGTGCCCCTTTCACCGTCCTGCCCACTTCAACCTGCCCTCCTTTGCCCTGCCCTCATTTCTCTGCTATCCTCACCCTGCCCTCTTCACTCCGCCCTCCATACTAATCCCACGCCCGTCTGCCCTTGCCTTGCAGTGACACCACTGGGAGCAACGGTGCTCAAGAGGCGCCATCTGGAGGCGGCTGGATGGACCGTCATCTCCATCCCCTTCTACCATGTACGCATCTCCATCCCCTTCTACCATGTACGCATCTCCATCCCCTTCTACCATGTACGCATCTCCATCCCCTTCTACCATGTACGCATCTCCATCCCCTTCTACCATGTACGCATCTCCATCCCCTTCTACCATGTACGCATCTCCATCCCCTTCTACCATGTACGCATCTCCATCCCCTTCTACCATGTACGCATCTCCATCCCCTTCTACCATGTACGCATCTCCATCCCCTTCTACCATGTACGCATCTCCATCCCCTTCTACCATGTACGCATCTCCATCCCCTTCTACCATGTACGCATCTCCATCCCCTTCTACCATGTACGCATCTCCATACGCTCCCACGAACTCATTGTTTGTATCCCCATTCCCTTGTATGAAGCAGCCACTGCACCTCATCCACTGCTTCTCCACACTGCACATCTCAGCTTTTCATTCCTGTCCCTCTTTGCCTTACTTCCCTGTGGTGCTGTGCGGTGCAGTGGAACAAGCTGGCAGGTGAAGCGGAGCAACAAGACTATCTGGAGCGTGCTCTTGGCAAGTCAGTAACTTGAATACGTGCCATGTACACAATGTGATTCCGTTATATTTATCTTCATCATTATAAGCTATACCCTACGTGCGCTACAAATACAGAAGCAGAGAGCAGCAGGCACTAGTCTTGTGACCATTGCAGCACTGCAGTGAATCCAGTCCTGCCAATCACAGCACTGCAGCGTACAGCAGTCTCTAGCGGGCGGCATAGCCCTGGCATAAACCAGCGAGCATGAGCACAGGGAGCATCAGCGGAGTGCGACAGTGCCGGAGAAGACGAGGTCAGCAGGGCCGGTCATGTGCACGCGGTTGTCCTCCTCCCTCCAATCTATCTCCAAGGGCCCGCCCGGCAGATGCACCAGACAGCTCTGAGAGGGGGCAGACGGAGAGAGATACAGGGTGGATGGATGCACAAAGGGGGCACCAAGGTGACAGACGGCATAAGAAGCAAGGTATGGTGGAGTGAGAAGTGTTACATATGGAAACCAGCTTGCCGTGCGCTCCTCCACCCCTCACAGCCTCGCTCTTCCCACCCAGGCTGCTCCAATCACTCTCCTCGGCCCACCACTAACTCACTTACCAGCCCTCACTCACACACTCACTCGCTCATCCGTGACTCACCCGCTCGGCACGGCCCTCCAGCACAGCCGCCACCACGAGGGCACACGTGCCCGTGCCACACGCCAGCGTGGGACCTGTGGGGGGCAGGGCGGTGGGGGGAGGGGGGGGGAGGGTGTTGGGTTTGGCAGAGGCTGGGACAATGGCGCAAGCTGCAATGGCGGTAACTGCAATGCAGAGCAGCAGAAGCAGGGCCGGGGTGCGAGGGCAAGAGAGGTCGAGCGAGGTGAGGGGGCTGACCTGCCCCGCGCTCCCACACGCGCATGCGCAGCTCGTTGCGTGAGATCACCTCCACAAACTCTGATGTGGTGTGCCACACATGCGTGATGTGGGGTACGGGACAGGACACAAGGGATGGCGGACGGATGGGGAGCAGGGAATGGGGGATTGGAGATGAGGATAAACTGCTGCGTAGCACGTGACGAGGAAAGAAGTTGAATTGCAAGAGATGAAGAGGTGCATAGAGGCAAAGGAGGAGGTGGAAGCAGGCAGTAGAGCGAGGGGGAGAAGGAGAGGGCGAAAGAGCTGACCTGTGTTGGTGCGAGCAGGGAAGGCGGGGTGGTGCTCAAACATGGGTCCAATGCGGTGCAGATCGATGCCTGCCACGTCCAGGCCCTGGGGGTGGTGCGGTGCCATCCATGCATGCACACCATGCCACACACGCAGGGGCAGTGGTGGTGGCGGTAGGTGGTGGGGACAGGGTTATGTGAGTGACCTGACCGCCAGCCAGCACACCACAAGTGGAAGAAATCCGGAACAGAACATGCTACTTGCTGCACGTAACCATGCAATAACTCGTGCCTTCTGCACAAGCTTACGAGTGCTAGTGGCAGGGAGCGCAGGGCACACCTGGGGGCAGTCTGAGTTGGAGAAGGTGATGCAGTGCGGGTTGCCCATGCTGACGCACGTCACCTGCCACGTCACCCCGTCCACCTGCAGCGGTGCCTTGACGACGGCGCCGTCAGGTGTGGTGGCGGGCAGCGTGGTGGGGATGAGGGGCGCCGGCAGGATGGGCTCTCCCATGTCCACCCGCACCTGGGACGCGAGGAGAGGGGCGAGGGGACGAGGCCGTGAGGCAGGGCAGAGAAGCGAGATGGTGGTATAGAGGCAAACAGACGTGTGTGTGAAGGGACGGGTGGGAGGAGGAAGTTGGGGAGTGAGAGGTTAGAGGGGAGCAGGCTGTGGGATGGCACAGAAGTGCGGTGCAAGGGAGAAGAAGAGCAGGCAGCAGCAGAGGTGCAGCAAAGGCGCTTGTGGTATGTCAGCCCCACCTGGCCATCGGCGCGCATGTGCGCCTGCATGACGCCTGCCAGCGTGGATATGGATATGCTGGGGGTTGGGGGGAGGGGAGTGGGGAGAGGGAAATGGAGAGAGGGAGGAAGAAGGGAGAAGGAACTGAGAGGGCGAGAAGTGACAAAGGCAGGAAGGGTGTATGGAGAGAGCGAGAGAGCAAGGGAAAGGGACAGGGGCGTACGTCTGGGTGTCGTGTGAGCTGGTGACGTCAGCAATGAACTTGGCCAGACAGCGGATGCCATTGCCACACATCTGCCATGCCACGTGCGAGGCAGGAGAGCACACATGGGGACATCAGCCAACAGCACATGCGAGATCCTTGTTTCTAGGGGAAGTGAAGTGTGTGCTGCGAACGAGCCGCGTGCGGTAACCACCCTGCACACCTTGCCCTGCCTGCCATCGGCCTCGCGCTCACACCCCCTGCACCGCACGGCACACCTCGGGCTCGCTGCCGTCGCTGTTGAAGATGCGCATGGTGAAGTCGGCGCCCGCCTGCCCCGGCAGCAGGAAGATCACCCCGTCGCCGCCCACCCCGAAGTTGCGGTCGCACAGCCGCGCCGCCTGCTCCTGCGACACCACCGGCTCCGACGAATGCCGGTTGTCCACCTGGCAGGCCGGGCAGCCATGCAGGGGGGGTTGTGGCGGTGTGAACGACGGCGCATGGGACGAATGGCAACAGCCGCAGCAGAATCAGGAACGTGGCAGAAGAAGCAGCAAGAGCAGGAGCAGCGACGAGAGGGGTGTGAGGAGGCACGCAGGTGGGCAGGGAGGGAGCGAGGCGTCTCACGAGGATGAAGTCGTTGCCGATGCCCTGGTACTTGCTGAACCGCAACTCGCCACTGCCCGCCGCCGATCCCGCTGCCGCCTGCCATGGCTCATACCACACCACGCCGTGCCGCGCCGTGCCATGCGGGGCCATGGCGACACGCCACGCCATTCCACGACATGTCACGCAATGCCATCGGATCAGCGCAAAAAGAGGAAACGAAACGGAAGCGCATTGCTTGAATGCCTCTGCCTGACGCGCCTTTCTCCCCAGCCTCGCTTGTTTCCTTTCAGCAACTAGAACTTCCCTAACGGATCAGATCATTTGCTGCGATCCCCTGAGGCTGCTCAGATCCTCATCTCACCATCGCTATCCGCGCGCTCGATCGGACGGTCGTCGTGCACACGCCGCTGTCGCTCGGAGAAGCGATCCGTCGGAGGCTGGTCAGGCAGGGTGCGTTACGCGACGGCACGCGCGAGGGTAACGGCTGGGTGGGGCTGGCTCGAGGCGCCGTGGCGTGGATCGCGAGGCACGATCCCGCAATGCGGCCGGCTGCGCACGTCGCGACCATGTCCACGAATGGCGCTGAAGCGCTGCGCGCGTAAGAAGGCGGGTTTCTCGAAGTCGATAATGTTGCGGGTGTTCTGAGGTGGATTCGCGTACTAGTCACAGCAGTCTGCTGTGTTATCAACTTATCGCGGCTGCGTCTCAACTCAAACATGGAAGACGAAGGGTGCAGAGGTTGCCGAAGCAGATCAAAATCGGAAAATCGCATGTTGTTTTCGCCAGCTCAATCGAAGGAGCGCAGGCTCGAGAGAATTTTTTTTTGGCGAAACGGCGCTCTTTCGCCAACCAGTGTGTACCCAGTATACAGCGAACGCAATCAACAAATCAGCACAAAACGAAGAACAGATCTGAAGAGGTGAAGCCACGAGAGCAGATCTGCACAAGTCAGCGAGGTGGAACCCAAAACGAGAGCCCAAATTCGCGCGGCGCCAGTCGCCATGGCCCACGACGACGATGCGACGCCTGGCGACGAGGGCGACTTCGAGGGCGACAGCTGCGAGTTGTCGTTCCTGGAGGAGGCGAGCGAGCTGCAGCGCCTCGTCGCCGTACTCGTGCCCTCCGCGCAAACCGATCAGTCTGGATCGGTGCAATGCGGTGTGTCGAATTTCGGAATCCGAGAGGCGGATGAGGAGGCGCAACGAATGCGCGCGGCGGGCGACGGGGAGATGCGCGACGACCCGCGGGCTGCAGTGCTGCTCCGCTTCGAAACCATCGTACGCCTCGCGCCCGTCGCTCGTAGCCCGTCGCTCGTAACCCGTCGCTCGTAGCGCGTCGCTCGTAGCGCGTCGCTCGTAGCCTGTCGTTCGTACCTCATACGGTGGAGATTCACGTGTCGGGATGAGAATGCAACAGTCGTGAAGGGCTGGGTGCAGCGTCACTCGTGCTCGCACCCATGCGCACACCGATCCGCGTGTGCAGCACTCCACAGCAGCCCGATCCCCGGTCATGGCAGCGTCCCTCTTGCATCACCGCCCTCCGCTCATGCCCCTCACCTGCTCATGCGCCTGACCCGCTCATGCGCCCACCCGCCCATCCGCTCACCCGCTCATGCACCCATTCCCGTTCACACACCCCCGGCCCCCCGCGTGGCAGTGCGCCAAGTACCGCGAGCAGCCGGAGCTGCTGGACCCGCACCTCGCCGCGCTGCTCTCCCCCGCCATGGCTTGCCTCTCCGCGCACGCGCTCGCCGCCGCCTCCGCGCTGCCCTCCGCGCTCGCGGGGGGTTCCGCGGGGTCGGGGGAACTCGGGCGGGCGATGGGAGAGGCGGAGGCGCAGCGGATGGTGCGGGAGGTGGCGGGGGCGGCGTGCGTGGTGCAGGTGGTGGCGTACGTGCGCGGCGCCAAGGTGGTCTGCCGCTTCTTCCCCAACGCGCCCTCGCACCTCGAACCCGCGCTCGCGCTGCTCATGCTCATGCTTCGCCTCTCGCCCGCTCCGCCCAAGGTAGCGCTGCGGGGATGCGGGGCGGGGACGCGATGGTGGGATGCGGTGGTGGTGGGATGCGATGGTGGTAGGATGCGGTGGTGGTGGGATGCGGTGGTGGTGGGATGCGGTGGTGGTGGGATGCGGTGGTGGTGGGATGCGGTGGTGGTGGGATGCGGTGGTGGGATGTGGTGGTGGTAGGATGCGGTGGTGGGATGCGGTGGTGGGATGCGGTGGTGGGATGCGGTGGTGGGGTAGGAGGGATGACTCGAGATAAGCGTGTCGTTGAGTCCCATTCGCATGTCCCATTCACAATCCGTCGTGCCTCCCGTACGTCACTGCGTCGCTCATCCGTTCGCCCCACTGTCCGCCCCTTCTCCCCCTCCCCTCCCCTCCCGCGCCAATCGCCCCTGGCGCGCATGGCGCGCGGGGGAGAAGGCGGGGTGGGAGGTGGGGGTGGCGGTGGAGGCGGCGGAGCAGTGGCGCGTGCACTACGCGCTGCTCTCGTGGCTCTCGCACCTGCTGCTGCTGCCATTCGCCCTCCCCTCCCTCGACTCCAACCTCTTCGCCCCCCAACCCCCCGCCACCCTGCAACCCTCCTCCACACCCTCCTCCCTCCAACACTCCTCCCAACCGCCACCACCACCACCAGCAGCAGCGCCAGCCCCGGTGGCGTCCCATCTGCTCCACCGCCTCCTGCCACTCCCCACCGCCGCATGGGAAGGAAGGTTGTCAGAAGCATGGTCACTGCCCGACGTGCTGCTGCGCGTGTGCCTCTCCTTCCTGCCCAACGGCCGCCTGCCCGTCCCCCTCATGCTCGCGCGCCTCCTCTCCCGCCCCGAAATGCACTCCCCCCTCGCCTGGTATGCCATTCAACCCCCCGTATGACATGTTCTCTCCAACACCTGTCAACCTTCCACTCCACACTTCCTTCCTTGTCCCACCATACGCCATCCCCCACCTCTCCACCCATATCCATCCCCGTACTATCCCCTTCTCCGCCCGTGCTCCCTCGCCCCGTGCTTGCCACAATCACCCACGCGCATGCTCCCCCCCGCCCAGGTTCATGGCTGAGAGTCGCCGCCTCGTCGCCTCACTCTCTGCCCCCCAGCGCTCGCCAGCCCCTCTCCCGGACGGCCCGCCGGTCAGGGGAGAGGGGGCGGAAGCAGAGGAGGGGGGCGAGGGGTCGGAGGAGGTGCTGGCGCCTGTCGTGCTCACCCTTGCCGCCATCTTCAAGGTGCCTCCGCTGCTGCCTTACTGTCTCCCCGCCGCTGCCTGCCTTCTGCTGCCTGTCGTGTCGTCACATGGTCTTGTCCCCTCTGCTTTCCTCTGACCCCATTCCCCCCATCCTGCTTTTCCACCTTCCCATCCACCTACACTCACCATCTCTCTTTCCTCTGTCTCTTGCCCTGTCGCCCTTCCCCTTCTCCCCTTCCCTTCCCCCTTGTCCCCCCCCCGTGTGCATGCAGACAGCCCCGCGCACAGAGCTAGCGCACCACACGCACGCCGTGTGGACCGCTCTTCTCCTGCCCCTCCTCCACTCCACCTCGCCCGCCAACCCTTCCCCCTCCACAGGCTCCTCTCCCCACACCATGCGTGCGCGCCCTGTCTCCTTGCTGCTCCCCCTGGCCCTCGTGAAGCTGCTCCACCGCCTCGCCCTCTCCCTGCTGCCGCCCCGCCAGCCCTCCTGGCGCTACCAGGTATGCCAGCTTCAAGCCCCCAACCCCGCACGCCCTTGCTTAGTGCAGCAGCACTGTCACTTGGCTTCTTCCTACGGCAGCAGCAGCCTCGCGTGCTGTTACTCGATTCACGATCATGCTCGTTGCGGTACTTCCAAAGCAGCCCTGATGTGCTCATCTTTATTCTTCCCACCCCACCCTCTCGCCTCCCCATCTGCCTCTCGCAGCGCAGCATCCACCGGGTGGACGCCCCTCCTGCTGCAGCCTCCCTCGCGCCCTCGCAATCGCCGGCAGCAGCAGGTGCTGGCCCAGGCACAGAACAGGGAGTGGCGGCAAGTGCGGGGGTGGCAGGCGCGGAGGAGAGAGAGTTGGGGCGGAGAGTGGGGGAGGGGGAGGGGAAGGGAGAGGGGGAAGAGGAGGAGGAGGAAGAGGAGGTGGTGGAGCTGGTGGAGGAGGCAGTGGGGGAGCTGCTGCCCATGCTCAAACACGAGGTGCGTGTGCGACAGTGATAGCAGCAGGTGAGTGTGACAGCAGCAACACGCATCAGCTCAATCGCACTCTTCACTATCGCTTGAGCACCCGCCCTCACCTCCCCTCTCTCACCCTTGCGCTGTTCTCCCGCTTCCCGGCCGCCAGTCAACGGATGTGCGGTGGGCGGCAGCGCGCGGCCTGGCGCGGGTGGTGGGTGGCCTGCCAGCTGGCATGGCGGACCAAGTGGTGGCGGCCGTGCTTGCCCTCGTCCACCCGCATGAGGTGAGTGAGGGTACTGCTGCCGCGACCCTCACGAGGCGATGGCATTGCCGTGCAACAGCACGAGATGAAGTTCCGGTGCTCACATAATCTTTCTCGTCTCCCCTGCTGCTTCGGCTGAACTGCTGCTTGTGTGTTGACTCTGCTCACGTATCTCATGTGCCCCTCAATCTCACCCTCACGACCCCACCGTCCATCCCTCCTCTCCCCTTACCCGCTTCCCCCACCCCGTGCCTGCCGCAGCTACCATCGGACAGTGCATGGCAGGGCGTGTGTCTGGCGTTAGCAGAGCTGGCGGCCAGAGGGCTGCTGCTGCCGTCGCGCCTGCACTCCGTCACTCCGCTCCTTGCCTCCGTGTGCCTCCTCCCCCACTGCCCCTCCTCCCTTACTGCGCGCACTTAACTTTCGCCACTCATTCACTCACCGTACACACACTCTCTCACTCTCGCTTCACACTCCAAATCCCCACAGCATCATTGTGCCATCGCTAGTCCACACCCTCTCTGCTCCTCCTGCGCTCAATGCCCATTTACCACCGTACAGCACTAACGCCTCGCTATCCCTACCTCATGCATCGCCCACCCCTCACCCTTTCCTCCCCTCCCCGCCATCTCGCATCTCCCTCCTTTCTGCGCCCACCCGCAACACTCTCTCCCCTCCCCCCTCCCTTTCCTCTCATCCCCGTCACCAGGCGTTGCACTACGAGGTGTTGAGGGGGGTGGTGGGCACGGGGGCGCATGTGCGCGATGCAGCGGCGTATGTGTGTTGGGCCATCGCCCACTCCTTCTCACCGTCTGTCGCTGCTGCCTCCCTGCAGCAGCTTTGCCCTCACCTCCTCGCCGTCGCCTGCTGTGACCGCCAGGTGGGCTGCTGTGACCGCCAGGCCCCATGCCCCATGCCCCATGCCCCAAGCGCCATGCGCCATACGCCATACGCCATACGCCATGCCCCATGCCACTGCTGCATGCCCCATTCCCCATGCCTCATGCACTATGCCCCATGCCCCGTGCTCCATTCGTCACACCCATGCCCTGTGCAACAAGCGCAGATGAAGTGCAGGTGGGCGGCAGCAGCGGCCTTCCAGGAGGTGGTGGGTCGCTGTGGCTGCATCTCTGACGCGCAAGCCCTCTCCCCGCCCACCACCAGAGGCACCCCGCACGCCTCCACCACCGCAGGCACTGCGGTGGAGAGCGGTGGTGGGAAGGAGGAGCAGTGGGCGCCAGCAGGGGGCATCGCCATAGTGAATGCTGCTGACGTCACGTCGCTCTCCTCCACTCGCACTGCATTCACTCAGGTGCTGTGCCAACCTCACAGGCATGTATCCGTCCAGCTTTCATCGTCCTCATGCGCCTCTTCCTCGCCTGCTGCAAGTCCGTGAGGAAGAGGCGGGTGAGAACCGTGTCAACCACGCCCAGCTCACATGTCCGTCACTGCACCATCACTGCCATATGTCTATCCCCCCACCTCTCTCCCCCCACCCTTAATCCTTCCCCATGCCTCTCCCTCTTGCCCGTTCCCCGTGCCCCTCCCACCAGGTGGCACTATTCGTGGCGGGCTATCCCGAGTACCGCAAGCAGCTGTTGCTCAAGCTAGCAGCCACCACGCACCACTGGGACAAGTCCATCCGCGCCCTCGCCGCTCACTCCCTCGCTGTCATCGCCCCCCTCGACCCACCCCGCCTCCTCTCCCTCCTGCACTCGCACCTCCTCCCCCTGCTCGCCTCCCCCGACCCCCCCTCCCGCCACGGCGCGCTCCTCGCCACAGCATCCCTCCTCCCGCCCCTCTCCACCTCCCCGCCCTCCCCTGCCCTCGCAGACACCCTCTCCTCCCTCACCGCGTCTCTCCCGAGTCTCCTCGCTCCGCGCTCTTTCCGAGGGCGCCTAGCGGGGGATCTCAAGGTGGCGTGCTGCCGCCTGCTCTCCGCCCTCGCTGCTGCGCTGCCCCGCGCGCACCTCCCGCCCCTGCCCAAGCCTGCTCTCACTGCTGCTGTTGCGTGCCTGCATGACATGCTGGCAGGCGATGGGGGGGAGCTGCAGGTGAGGGGGGGGGTGGGGAAAGGGAGGGAGGAGTGGCGGGGTAAGGGAGGGGGGAGTCGGATGAGCACGCACTAGAAGCATGGAGGTTGCACCATGTTGCCACGAACACTCTATCGTGATTGCGGCATGCCAGCATGCTCATTGCTCACGTTTCATCGCTCTTCTCATCCCCTCTCCTCCCCCGGCCCTGCATCCTTTCCCCAACTCCTCCCCCCTTTCCCCCAGTGTGTGCGGGGGCGCTTTGTCTCGTCGGTGCAAGAGGGGGCAGCAGCAGCGCTGTGGGACTTCGTCCGCTCCCAGCCCTCCCCTGCTTGCACGCACCTCGCGCGCGAAATAGTCGCTCGCCACGTGGCGACTCTGGAGTCTGCCAGCTCAGCAGCGAGTGCCAGGCGAGGTGCTGTGCTGGCGCTGGAGTGCTTCCTGCCCAGCCTCTGCCCCGCCTGGCCGCCCGCCCCTCCCCTTCACTCCCCTGCTGCTGGCGCTGGCAAAGCAGGGCTGGGAGTGGGGGTTGGAAGCACAGGAGAAGAGGAGGAGGAGAGGCAGGGGGGGACGGAGGGGAGAGGGGATGGGGGAGGGTTGGATGAGGGTGAGGGTGAGGTTGAGGGTGAGGGTGAGAGGTCAAGGTGCGAGCTGGCAGAGCGGGTGGTGAAGGCGCTGTGTGCTGCTGCCACCGACAATGTGAGTGCTCTCTGCCTCTCTGCCTCTCTGCCTCCAACCCTCTCCCTCCAACTTCCTTCTTGCAGCATTGTAGCCTTGTCCTTTCGTTTCGCATGCAGGGACACCTTTGGATCGCACCTCCAGTCCCTTCCCTTCCCCACCAGCCACCCATCCATCAAACACTCTGCAACGATCCACCACCCTTTATTCCCTTCTCTCATCCCTGCAGCGGGGGCGTCGTGCCGTGACTGACGTGGCAGTGCGGGCGGCAGCCGTGGAAGCACTGGGCCATGCTGCCAGCATCATTCCCCTCCTGCAGGCGGGTGGAGCGGGCGCAAAGGGGAATGCAGGGGCGGGTGGGGAAGGTGGGGTGGAGGTGGGGCAGCTGCAGGGGGGGGCAGGGGAGAAGGAGGAGGTTGAGGTGAGCAGGCAGGGTGGGTTGGTAGGACGCGGGTGGTGGGAGGAGGGGGGTGAGAGCGTGGTGGTGGCGTTGCTGCGAGCCGCACAGGACTACACGGAGGACCACCGGGGCGATGTGGGCCGCCTCATCAGGGAAGCTTCCATGAAAGCGCTGGTGGCATGGGTGGAAGAAGCGTACAGGTTGAGAGAGGCGGGAGAAGGCGAGGTGGGAAATGCACCAAGTGCAGCTGACGCAGCACCTGACGCCCCCTCCTCTCAGCAGCGGTGCGGTGGGTTGCAGGAGTGGTGCAGAACGGTGGCAGGGCGGGTGGTGGGCGTGCTGCTGAAGCAGGCGGGGGAGAAGATTGACGGCACTCGCAAGGTGGCGGGGCATGGGCTGCAGCGGCTGCTGTGGGGGAGCAAGCACGGTGCAGCGATGAAAGGGATACAAGCGGCAAGCGAGGAAGCAGGGAGAGCAGAGGCAGTTGAGGCACGTGGTGCTGGTGGTGGCACGCAGGGGGCATCAGGTGGAGGCGAGGAGGAGAGCGATGGAGGAGGCGCTGTGAGGCAATGCGTGGGCGACAGGGCGGAAGGGAGTGGTGTGTGCAGGGATGTGGATGGGTGGGAGCAGCTGAGGCAGCACGTGCCCTCTGACCCTCACTTCGCATGGAAGGTGCGTCATATGCTCTGCTCTGCTCTGCTCTGCTCTGCTTTGCTATGCTGTGCTGTTCTGTCCCTTATTCCGCTGTTTCCGCCCTTTTGTTGCTCCAGTCCTTCTCATTCTCACCCACCTCTGCTCCTCCCGCATTCACCTCCATCATTTCCCCTCCCATCCCCTTTCCCCCTCCTTCCTCACCCTGCCAGAATCCCGTGGCTGTCTTTCCCTGCCTGGCCCCGCTGCTGCTGCTGCCAGCCTACCGCCTGCCGCTGCTCTCCGGGCTGCTGCTTTCCGCGGGCTCTCTCACTCACTCCCTTGCTGCGCCCTCTCTGCGCGCGCTTCTCTCGCTCAAACCAGCACCGGGGCCACAGGGGGGCATGATGGAGGCAGGAGAGGAGGGTGGGGGTGGGCAGTGGGAGGAGGTGCAGGGGCGGATAGCGGAGGATGTGGTGGTGCTGCTGAGGCGGCACCGCAAGCAGAATCGAGTCATTATTCCATACATCAAGGTAGACCCTGCTGCATTCCTAGTGGACGCCATGTTGACAGAATGCAACTGTGCGCTGCTCGCCAAGAGTGGTTGTGCGCTGCCATGTGTGGGAGGGTGCAGCGAAGCCAAGCGCTGTGACGCACTGCCGCCATGCATGCGTGTGTGTGGGTCCTTGTTGAGCCTTGCACCCGCTCTGCCACTCTCATCTCAACTGTGCTCTCGCTGCGTGCGTGCTTCTACGGGTTGCCATCTTCCCCCACTGCAGGCCATCGCTGCTCTGCTTCAGGCGGATTTCTTCGGGTCGCTATCAGCCGACACTCCAGCTTCACAGCAGGTCCGTGAAGCCCTGCATTAGACCTGCCCATCCAACACCTGCTCCCTCCGGTCTCCATCCTTCACATCTCTTGCTCCACATCCTCACTCCAGCAATCCCTTTCTGCATGCCAACCGTCTCCACCCTACCGTTCTGCATGGCGTTCCCCTGCCCTCCCACGCCCTGCCCTCTCCCACCCCCTTGCAGCCTGCCACTTCCACCTCCTCCCTCACGACTTTACCCGGGGCGCTGGTGGAGGGAGTGGAGGAGGAGCTGTGCCGGCCACAGCCCACAACTTCAGTGCCCAAGATGCTGGCGGCCGTGGACCTGCTCTGCCACCTCGCCGCCCCGCACTGCGCTGCCCGCTGCCACGCCCTCTCCACGCTCCTCTGGCTGCTCGCCGTGCGCTTCCCCACTGTGAGTGCATCTCATGATTGCCATAGTCCCCACTGTTTGTGTGCCCCATATCCCCCACTGTGAGTGTGCCCCATAGTCCCCCACTGTGAGTGTGCCTTCTCTGGCTGCATTGCACTCGTTGCTAGTACTGACACAGCAATAGCCATTGCACTTCACAGTGTAACTCCCCTTTGCCTGTCCGGTGTCACCTCTAGGCCATTTCATGTGTTGCGTTGCATGTGTAAACATCTATTTCACATGCTCCCATGCAACCACAACAGGTTCGGAGGCATTGTGCAGAGCAACTGTACTTGGTGCTTCTTATGGGAACAGAAGGTGGGGATGAAGCTGAGAACGTTGATAGAGAGGCAGCACTGGAACAAGCTTCCGAGATTCTTAGCGCTGATTGGGGTGCAATGGATGATGCTCTGGTGTCTAGTCAAACAAACGAATTACGGGCTTTGTTAGAAATCGCTTTCTCGTAAGAGATCTAGCGCCCACATGTTAAAAAGCAATGTCTTAATTGAAGGTTGGCAATATTGTACCGTATTATCCGCATGTAATGCACATAGAATGTAATGCAGAGGAATGCAAGCAACGGTGTATGATAGCAGCTATTTGACACTGTCGCTAGCTTTTGAGTCCAGACAGCACATTCTGGGTTCAGCAAATCATTATTTGGCAAGAATGAGACCGTCAATACTGCGTACAGCAAATTCTGCATCTCCAATGCCGCCAAGAACGACTGTTCTTGTTTTCCATCCTACCGTAGTTTTCGCGCCATTTTAGTCACAAGAACACAGACCATCATCCTTTGCGTACGTGACACGCCATCGCCATGGCGGACGAGGCAGAGCGCGCCAAGCCGAAGCCGTTCAAGGCGGAGTACGCCAAGTCGGCGCGCGCGAGCTGCCGCAAGTGCAAAGACACCATCGCCAAGGACGCCTTCCGCATCGCCAAAGTCGTCGAGTCGAAAACGTTCGATGGTTTTATGACGGTAATGCCTGTACAATGACTTGTCGGCATGATGGTAATGCCTCGGTGAATGTATGACGGTAGTGGCTGGACACTGGCATGACATAAATGTGACGGTGATGCCTTGGCGGATGCATTGTAATGATGGATTTATGACGCATTGCGCTAATGCCTTCACACCCGATGATTCTAGGGGCTTCAAATGTCCGTAGTTATTCCTCAGGCGCTTAGAGTGATGCGCGCACCCTTCCACCTTTCAAAGTTCCCTGCACAGCTGCATCGCCCTCCGTTCTCATCCCCCTCTCTCCACCTCATTCCGCTCCCACTTTCCAAGTTTCAACTTTTCTCTCATTCGCCTCGCGGATTGTTCATTTCCCTTCCATCCATCCCCCTTCCATTCCGCCCATCCCCCATCCCCACGCCCCCCGCCCCGCCACCATGTGCGCGGAGCAGCTGTGGTTCCACGCGAGCTGCGTCTTCAAGGCGTCGGGATTTATCACCAAGTCAGTGCCACCCTGCTCCCCCTGCCAACCTGCTCCCCCTGCTCAGCTGCTCGTCTGCTGCTCGTCTGCTTCCCTGTTCGTCTGCTCGTCTGCTCTCATCCCCTTCACCGCCTCTGTCTCTGCGCCCTCCGCACGGTTCTCCCTAGCACCGCCGCCTCTCAACAGCACGACGTATCCCCTCCCTTCTCCCCCGCCAGTGTGGGCGACGTGGAGGGGGCGGACGTGCTGCGCTGGGAGGACCAGCAGGCGCTCCGGGCCTACGCCAAGGGGGAGGGGGTCGCGCAGGGCGCGGGGGGCGCAGGGGGCGCAGGGGGCGAGGGGAAAGCGGAGAAAGCAAAGGGGAAAACAGGCAAAGGGGGGAAGGGGAAGGCTGCTGCAGGGGCGAAGGGTGACGGGGGGAAGAGCGAGGGGAAAAGCAAGGGGAAAAGGGGGAAGGCAGTGGCGGATGATTCAGGCTCGGAGGGGGAAGGTGAAGGGGGAGGGGTGGAGGGGTTCCAGGTGGCGTATGCTGCAAGCAACCGGTCGGCGTGTCGGCACTGCAGTGAGAAGATCGCCAAGGGCGAGGTGAGTGCTGCTTCCGCCTGCCTCCAATCTCCGCCCCCTATGCATCCCCCCTGCCTTTCTCTCTGTGCCATTATTCCCTCCAACCCTTCTGTCTCCAGGCAAATATAGCCATGTGGGTCCACCCCACCCCAGTCCGTGCTTCCCTGCCGCGACCCCACTCGCCCTGCCCATCCATGCGGTGCAGCTGCGAGTGGCGCGCATGGAGGAGTCGAGGGGCATGGACGTGCCGGCGTGGCGGCACGCGGCGTGCATGGCGGACGAGGGCATCTGGCCGGAGGGGGCAAGGGTGCAGGCCGTGCAGGGGTGGGGCGCGCTGCAGAAGGACGACCAACAGCGCCTGCTGCAGTTGCTGGGAGGGGGGGGCAAGGGGAAGGGCACGGGCGAAGGTGCGTGTACGGTGTGTGGGTGGAGGTAGGTATGGTGTAGCGCTTGTCAATGGGTGCAGAGGGTGGTGATACACGGCGTGTGTAGGACTAGACGTGAAGGCCGATGGGCATTGCTTGCCTAGCTGTACCTGCATGTGCCGTTTCTGTGTCCGCATGCTCTTATCTCACTGACACCCTCTCCTCCTCCCCCATCCCCCAACGGCCCTTCAGAGCCCCCCAAGAAGCGGCAGCGGGGGGCGGAACAGGACGGAGGAGGCGAGGAGGACAGCAAGCGCAAGGGGAAGGGGAAGGAGGACGTGAAGTCGGAGGACGCAGGGAAGGCAGAGGAGGGGAAGATGAGCTTGGAGCTGGAGCGGGCATTGGAGCAGCAGGCTCGGCGGCTGTGGGAGGTGAAGGACAAGCTGCGCGCACACCTGAGTGTAGCCGACATGCGCGCCATGCTGGAGGCCAATCAGCAGGAGCCAGGTGGCAGCGAGGACGCCCTGAGGGAGCGCTGTGCAGACGGCATGCTGTTTGGCCCCCTGCCGCCCTGCCAGCTGTGCGCTTCCCCCATGGAGTATTGGGACGGGCGGTACCGCTGCCGCGGGTTCCTCTCTGCGTGGTCTGCATGCACCTTCACCACGCGGGAGGTGCAGCGCAAGGAAGCTGCGTGGGTGGTTCCCGAGGAGATCTCCAACCCGTTTGTTGATGTGAGTGGCAGTATTTGCACTGGTGAATCAGTTCTGGAGTCACTGTATAAATTCTGAAGAAGTAAATACATTGATGGGGCTCATTTCGTCCATGACTCACATGGGTCAGTGAGACTCTGCTCGCGCTAGTTGAGCCCCTGTCATTCCATGCAGGTTTACCCGTTGTGTGCGTGGCTGCCTTGCCTCCTGCACTCACTGCTGTGCTCCCCATGCACTCAACTGCTGCCAGGAGTACCGGGCAGGGCAGCAGCGGCGGTTCAGCGCAGCAGACAAGAGCAAGGGCAAGGGGCGCGGCAAGGGGAAGGGCAAGGGGAAGGCGGAGGGGAGCGAGGGGGGGGAGGAGGGGGGGAGTGCATGGCCGCAGCGGGTGCTGCCCCCGGAGGAGAAGCGCAGTGAGGTGAAGCGGGCGAGCAAGACAGGGACGGGCGGGAAGGAAGCGAGCAGTGGGAAGGGCGGTAGAGCAGCGAGGGAGGCACGCGAGGCAGCCATACCGCATGGGGGCGTGGAGCGGGAGAAGCCGCTGGAGGGGGTGCATGTGGTGCTGCTGGGACGGCTGTCCCGCACCCAGGCGGCATGGCGCAAGGAGATCGAGGCAGGTGGCGGTGCTGTGGTGCCGTTGGGCAGCGCGGGTGAGTGCGTGTGGTGCCAGCCCATGCCTGCTTGTGTGTGGCATTGCGAGTGGGCTTCTTGGTGTTTGCTGCTCTGAGACAAGCATCGCATCGCATTGCTCTGATTCACATGCTGCCCTGCCAAGTGTCCTGTCATGGCAGTGCCTCCATCATCGCTCCACCACCCACCAGCTTTACCTCCCCTCATTCCCTTCTGCTCCTCCCCTACTGCTCCTCCCCTGCTGCTTCTACGCTCTGCCACTCTGCCGCTGTGCCCGGCATGCACCAGAGGTGGACTGCATTGTGGCTACCGAGGCAGACGCAGAGAAGAATAAGGACAAGCTCCTGCCACCCATGTGCGTCCACTCCTCTGCTGCCACTCGCCTTGCTCCACCTTTCATTGCTTCTGTCTTTACTTTCCACCATCCTTTCCCTTTCCTACCAACCTGTTTCTTCCTTACCATGCGCTCTCTCCCATCGTCCCATCCATTCCCACCTGTCCCGCCACACCACATGCCCGCCCTTCCCCTGGCTGGCACCGCAGCGCCCTGGGAGCATCGCTCCTCTCAGAGGCCTATCTGCTGGAATCGCTGGCGCAGAAGCGCCGCCTGCCCATGCGCGCGCCCTACCTGCTGCCACTCTCACTGCAGCTCCAGCAGCCGGCGGACGCGCACGCCACCCCCCCTGCTGGTGCTGCTGCTGCTGCTGCTGGTGGGAAGGAGAAGGGGAAGGGGAAGGGCAGGGCGGGCGAGGGGGAGGAGCAGGTGCGGGCGACGGTGCGAGTGAAGGGGCGGGCAGCGGTGCATGAGGCGTCGGGGCTGGCGGAGGGGGGACACGTGCTGGAGTGCGAGGGGTGCGTGTGGAGCACCACACTCTCCCTCGCTGACCTCTCCACTGGCGCCAACAGGTGCGGCTCCTCCCCTCCCTCGCACCACCACTCGGCCGTGTGCCACATGCTCTGCGCACCACCCATCACCTCTTCCCCTCCACCACCATCACCCATCACCTCTTCCCCTCCACCACCATCACCCATCACCTCTTCCCCTCCACCACCATCACCCATCACCTCTTCCCCTCCACCACCATCACCCATCACCTCTTCCCCTCCACCACCATCACCCATCACCTCTTCCCCTCCACCACCATCACCCATCACCTCTTCCCCTCCACCACCATCACCCATCACCTCTTCCCCTCCACCACCATCACCCATCACCTCTTCCCCTCCACCACCATCACCCATCACCTCTTCCCCTCCACCACCATCACCCATCACCTCTTCCCCTCCACCACCATCACCCATCACCTCTTCCCCTCCACCACCATCACCCATCACCTCTTCCCCTCCACCACCATCACCCATCACCTCTTCCCCTCCACCACCATCACCCATCACCTCTTCCCCTCCACCACCATCACCCATCACCTCTTCCCCTCCACCACCATCACCCATCACCTCTTCCCCTCCACCACCATCACCCATCACCTCTTCCCCTCCACCACCATCACCCATCACCTCTTCCCCTCCACCACCATCACCCATCACCTCTTCCCCTCCACCACCATCACCCATCACCTCTTCCCCTCCACCACCATCACCCATCACCTCTTCCCCTCCACCACCATCACCCATCACCTCTTCCCCTCCACCACCATCACCCATCACCTCTTCCCCTCCACCACCATCACCCATCACCTCTTCCCCTCCACCACCATCACCCATCACCTCTTCCCCTCCACCACCATCACCCATCACCTCTTCCCCTCCACCACCATCACCCATCACCTCTTCCCCTCCACCACCATCACCCATCACCTCTTCCCCTCCACCACCATCACCCATCACCTCTTCCCCTCCACCACCATCACCCATCACCTCTTCCCCTCCACCACCATCACCCATCACCTCTTCCCCTCCACCACCATCTCCCTTGCCTGTCCCCGTGCCCCATCCTCTCTCTTTCCTCCCCTCCTCGCAGCTACTACATCCTGCAGGTGATAGAGGACGACAAAGTCGCCCCGGTGCCACGTGTTCCGCCAAATCCCCCACACCGCTTTTCCCCCTTTTCCCCATACCCCTACCCTATCCTCTCCGTATCCTGCCCCCCCTGCAGCTACTACATCCTACAGGTGATAGAGGACGACAAGTCGCCGCGGTGCCACGTGTTCCGCAAGTGGGGGCGCGTGGGCAAGGAGGGCATTGGGGGCAGCAAGCTGGAGATGACGTGGCGCGAGAACGCCATGGAGGTGTTCAAGCGGCTGTTCAGGGAGAAGACGGGCAACGACTGGGAGGCGTGGCAGAAGAAAGAAGGCTTTGAGAAGCAGCCGGGGAAGTTCTACCCTCTTGAGATTGTGAGTGCCTGATGAGACCTGTTCCAGCTGCCGCCATAGAGGTATTAGGTGCTGCAGCAGTGCTAGCAGCTGCCATCCTGCTGCTTTCATATGCGGCAGATCATCAGTTTAGGATTCAGAGTTAGGGGGTTAGCTGAGGAACTGCAGCACAGTAGCGTTCAGCAACAATGCGCTCCTTCGCATCTGCCCTCCCCATGGCTGCTGGCAGGACTATGGTGGAGGGGACGAGGAGGAGGAGCAGGGCGGGGCAGTGATGGGAACAAGGAGCAAGCTGGACAAGCGGCTGGTGGCGCTGCTTATGATGATCTTCGACCTCAAGTCCATCAGGTGCTCATGATGATCTTCGACCTCAAGTCCATCAGGTGCTGCTGTGACTCCTCATCATATTCTTTATCTGCTTGCTCTCAAGTGCCACACCCCTCATCCCACTGATCCCATCTGCCAGCCTCTGTGCTCACTGCCCATATCACTCATCCCCTTTTCCCAGTCACTCTAATTATACTCACCTCGTTGTCTCCCCTGTTGCCCCCCACACCCTCTCCACCTTACTCACGGCTTGCCTGGGAGGGCAGGGAGGCGATGGTGGAGTTTGAGATCAACGTGCGGGAGATGCCGTTGGGCAAGCTCACGAAGCGGCACATAGAGCGCGGCTTCCACGTGCTCACGGACGTGCAGGCCGCCCTGCAGCTGGCGCCCGACTCCACGGGGCGGCGGGAGAGCGCCATCGTGGACGCGTCGAACCGCTTCTTCACGCTCATCCCCACCGTCAACCCCACCGCCATCCGCACACTCGAGGCTCTCACCACCAAGGTGCGTGCGTGCATGCGAGGCGTGCGCTGCACCCACACCTGGTGTTGTGGCAACAAGCTCCGCAACTTGCGATGATGCAGCACGGTGCAGGCACCGAGTACGACCTCATGCTGCCATGCCGTGTGTCCCATGTGTGCCTTGTGTGCCATGCCTGCAGATCCGCATGCTGGAGGCGTTGAGGGACATGGAGGTGACGTCCACGCTGCTCAGTGCGAGCAAGGGGGCGGGCGAGGGCGAGGGCGAGGGGGGCGAGAAGGAGGACCCGGTGGACCGGCACTACCGCCAGCTGCAGTGTGGGCTGTCGCCGCTGGACCCCAGCGATGCTGACTACTCGCTCGTCAAGGAGTATCTGCACAAGACACACGCGCCCACTCACAAGGTGCTTCGTAGGCGGGTGCATAGTCCTGGCCTTGCTGTCAAACATTGCATGTTTATATTATGTAGGCTGTAGTGGGTTACACCTTAGGGGGTACTCAAAGTTAGGGTTTCCTACTTGTACCAAACTCTGTGCTAGTTCATCCCATTCCTGCTCAGTTATTCTGACATGGTATCAGAGCAGGTCCATCGCTAGGACCGCTCTTAGGGCCCACCGCTACCTACCTACCTACCTACCGTGCGCCTCTTGCGCCTACGCGCTCTCGTGCGCCCTACCCTACGTGCGCCCTCGTGCGCCCTACCCTACGTGCGCCCTCGTGCGCCTTTCTCTCCTTGTGCGCCTTCGTGCGCCCTCGTGCGCCCTCGTGCGCCCTCGAGCTGCCCCTGCAGGTCCGTCAGGCCACCGAGCCGTCGCTGCAGGCCTGTCAGGCACCTGAGCCGCCGCTACAGGCACGTCAGGCACCCGAGTCGCCGCTGCAGGCCCGTCAGGCCCCCGAGCCGCCGCTACAGGCCCGTCAGGCCCGAGAGCCGCCCCTGCAGACCCGTCAGGCCACGCGCGCCGCCCCTGCAGGCCCTAGCCGGCCGCCGCGTCGCTCTGCCCGCAGCGTCGCCGCCTCTCCGCGGCGTCGTCGCCTGCCCGCGTCGAAGCCGCCTGCCCGCGACGTCGATCCCTGCCCGCGGCGCCGTCGCCTGCCCGCGGAGACGTCGCCTGCCCGCGGCGTCGTCGCGGCGTCGCCACCTGCCCGCGGAGTCGTCGCCTGCCCGCGCCACATGCACGCGGCGTCGCCACCTCCTCGCCGCGTCGACCTGCCCGCGGCGTCGCCACCTGCCCGCCGCGTCGACCTGCCCGCGCCGTCGCCACCAAACCCTAATCCGTCGCCCTGCCCGCGGCGTCGCCACCTGCCCGCCGCGTCGCCCTGCCCGCGCCGTCGCCACCTAACCCTAATCCGCCTCTCGCCCCTGGAGCAGCCGCCACTGCAGTAGCAGCCCCTGGAGCCGCCGCCACTGCAGCAGCAGCCCCTGCAGCCGCCCGCCACTGCGTCAGCAACCACTGGAGCCGCCCACCACTGCAGCAGCCGCCCCTGGAGCCGCCCGCACCTGCAGCAGCCGCCCCTGGAGCAACTGCCGCCGTAGCCCGGTCTAGCTCTGCAGCAGCTGCCGCGGAGCTTCCTACTGCGCCTGCCACGCCGACCACTGGTGAGCATTGCCCTGCCAGCACTGCTACCGCTGCTACTGCTACTACTGCCGTTTCTACTCCCACTCCCGCTACTCCTGCTGCTCCTGACGTGGCCAGATGCAGCCACAGGACCGTGCGCGTGAGTCCCTCACGCTCCAGCAGGCTCGTGAGTGGTACGCCAGTTGGGGCTATCGAGGTGGCCGTAGTGGTAGTCGCTCTGACGTGCGTCGTTCGGGAGCCCCTGGTAGTGGACAGGTGCAGCAGCCGTGCCCTCCTACGGTCCAGCAGGCTCGTGAGTGGTACGCCGGTTTGAGCAGTCGGGGTGGCCGTAGTGGTAGTCGCTCTGGCGTCCGTCGTTCGGGAGGCTCAGGTAGTGGACAGGTGCAGCAGCCGTGCCCTCTTCTGGTCCAGCAGGCTCGTGAGTGGTACGCCGGTTTGAGCAGTCGGGGTGGCCGTAGTGGTAGTCGCTCTGGCGTCCGTCGTTCGGGAGGCTCCGGTAGTGGACAGGTGCAGCAGCCGTGCCCTCTTCTGCTCCAGCAGGCTCGTGAGTGGTACGCCGGTTTGAGCAGTCGGGGTGGCCGTAGTGGTAGTCGCTCTGTGAGTGAGGCAGCCGCTCTCGGTGCCAGTACGTCTGTTGCCCTCGGAGCAGGTGAGGCTACCACTCCCGGTACTCGCGTGTCTGCTACTCCAGATACTGGTGAGCCTACTGCTCTAGGTGCTAGTGCGTCTGCCGCTCCAGGTGCTCGCGTGTCTGCTACCCCAGGTGATGGTGAGGCTGCTGCCCTAGGTGCTAGTGCGTCTGTGCCCCCTGGTACTGAGTCGACTGCAGCACTGCACACCTTCACACTGGACTCAGGTGCTTCTCGCTCTTTCTTTCGTGACCGCACTGTCCTTGAGCCACTCGCTCGGCCAGTTGCTGTCTCTCTTGCTGACCCCTCAGGGGGTCCGGTCATTGCGACCTCCTCCACTACACTTCCGTGTCCAGCGGTTCCGTCCGGCACGCTCTCAGGTCTCTACCTCCCCTCGTTCTCTACGAACTTGGTGGCGGGCTGTGCTCTGCAGGACGGGGGTGTTCACCAGTTCACCCCTGCCTACGAGCGTGTGACACATTGCACGTGTGCTCGGACGGGCCGCCACCTGGCTACTTTCACTCGGGAGCCGGGGTCGGACCTGTACACACTGACCACTGAGTCCCCTCAGGTGGCTGCGTCTGCGTCTGCGTCAGGTCAGCTGTCCGCCCCCTGCTCATGTCGCTCTCTGGCGCATGAGACTGTCCTCTGGCACCACCGCCTTGGTCACCCGTCTGTGCAGCGCCTTCGGGCCATGCACAAACGGGACCTTGTTGCTGGTCTTCCCAGGGTGCTCCCTCCCCTTCCCGACTCCCCTGCTCCTGACTGCATTCCCTGTGTCGAGGGGCGGCAGCGCGCCGCTCCTCACTCCTCCTCCTTTCCCCCGACGACTGCTCCCTTGCAGACGCTCCACATGGACGTGTGGGGCCCAGCCCGCGTCCGTGGTCAGGGTCAGGAGAGGTACTTCCTGATAGTTGTTGACGACTACTCGCGCTACACCACGGTCTTCCCCTTGCGCGCCAAGGGTGACGTCCCTGGTGTTTTGATCCCCTGGATCAGCCGAGCCCGTCTCCAGCTAGCCAAGCGCTTTCACTCGGACTTTCCTGTCCTGCGCTTGCACTCTGACAGGGGTGGTGAGTTCGCCTCCGACCTCTTGGCAGCCTACTGTGCTGAGCACGGCATTGAGCAGTCGTTCACGCTTCCGGCCTCTCCACAGCAGAATGGGGTCGCTGAGCGCCGCATTGGCTTGGTCATGGAGGTCGCTCGTACCTCCCTGACCCATGCGGCTGCTCCCCACTTTCTGTGGCCGTTTGCGGTCCGGTACGCAGCGCATCAGCTCAACCTCTGGCCCCGTGTCTCCTTGCCGGAGACTTCCCCGACTCTACGGTGGACGGGAGAGGTTGGCGATGCGTCGCGTTTCCGGGTCTGGGGATCTCGAGCTTTTGTCCGCGACACGTCCGCGGACAAGCTCTCGCGTCGCGCTGTTCCCTGTGTCTTTCTTGGCTTTGTTCCCGACGCGCCTGGTTGGCAGTTTTACCACGTCACCTCGCGCCGGGTTCTGGCCTCTCAGGACGTCACTTTTGACGAGTCCGTCCCCTTCTACCGCCTCTTCCCCTACCGCACTGCCCCGCTCCCCCCCCCGCCTCTCTTCCTCGCTCCAGGTGCTGAGGTACCAGACCCCCTCCCCCCTCAGGGTGCCGCTCCCTCAGGTGTGTCCCAGGTAGACCCGGGTGAGCCTGTCGAGGTAGCTGTTGACTCGCGTCCTGCGTCTGGGGGTGCTGAGCCTGGGAGTACTGCGTCTGAGGGTGCGGAGCCTGGGGGTGCTGAGTCTGGAGGTGCGGAGCCTGGGGGTGCTGAGCCTGGAGGTGCGGAGCCTGGAGGTGCGGAGCCTGGGGGTGCTGAGTCTGGGGGTGCTGAGTCTGGGGGTGCTGAGCCTGAGCGTGCTCCACCTGGAGGAGCCCTCTCCTCCCAGCAGCTGCAGGAGAGGTACCTCGAGTACTGCCGCCTCCCGAGAGGTGCTTCTGGAGCTCGTCCCGGTACTTCCCCTCCTACCCAGGAGCTCCCCCCCATTCAGGTGATCCGCGAGTGGTACACGCGGCGCTGCAGTCTTCGTAGTGGTGCTCCTGGTGCTGCGGACCCGAGCAGTGGTGCTGTTGCTGGTGCTGAGGACCCGGACGCTGGAGCTGCTGCTGGTGCTGAGGACCTGGGGGCTGGAGCTGCTGCTGGTGCTGAGGACCCGACCGGTGGCGCTGCTGCTGGTGCTGAGGACTCGGGCGTTGGAGCTCCTACTGGTGCTGAGGACCCGGGCGTTGGAGCTGCTGCTGGTGCTGAGGACTCGGGCGTTGGGGCTGCCACTGGTGTCCCTGCTGCTTCTGGAGACGCTGCGCGGCCGCGACCGTACTTCGTACCGCTCCTTCAGCAGGTTCTTGGTCAGGCTCCTCCTCCTAGTCCTCCTCCCTCCGTCGAGTGTCCTCTGCCTGTCCAGCCGCAGTCACAGTTACCGCCTGCCTCGCCTCTCCCTGCTCCCTCCCCTTACGCTGGTCCCACAGGAGGTCTTACAGAGCGTCGTGAGCCTGAGTCTCGTCCTGCGTCGCCTGTTCGTACTGCTCGCACTGGTCGTCGTGTCCCACGTGAGCGTCCTCCTCCTGTCCCTGGCACTCACTACATGACTCTGCGTCCCTCCACTGCTCCGCAGCGTGTCCCGCTGCCGTCTCCTCATGCGTCCTCTCTTCCTACTCTTCCTGACCCGGAGTCTGACTCCCGTCGTGCTGCCAGTCCCACTGTTACGCGTCTCCTCGCTACAGTTGTCACTGACCCGACCTTTGAGTCCTCTGCTGCGTCTGCTCTGGTCGCTGAGTTGGTTGACTTTGCTGCTCGCTGTCGCCTAGACTACGCTGCCAGCCTTGTCGCTAGGTCTGAGTCTGCGTCTGCCTGTCCTCCGTCCGTCGGGGGTGAGTGTGCCCTCGGCACGGACGTCCTTGAGGACAGACAGGAGGAGTTCCACTGCCTTGCTGCTGCTTTGCCCCGTCTCGTGTCCTTGCTAGTTGCCCCTGAGGGAGACCCGGATGCACCAGACATCCCGACCCCACGCTCTTACGCTGAGGCGATGGCGGGTCCCTACTCCTCTCAGTGGCAGACAGCCATGGACGCAGAGATGGCCTCCTGGAAGTCCACAGGCACCTACGTAGACGAGGTTCCCCCTCCTGGGGCGAACATCGTCAGTGGCATGTGGATTTTCAGGGTGAAGCGGCCGCCGGGTTCTCCACCTGTCTTCAAGGCGCGCTACGTGGCTCGAGGCTTCAGTCAGCGAGAGGGAGTAGACTTCTTTCAGACCTTCTCCCCCACCCCGAAGATGACTACTCTTCGGGTGCTGCTGCACATAGCCGCTCACCGCGACTACGAGCTTCACTCTCTTGACTTCAGCACTGCTTTCTTGCAGGGCAGCCTGCACGAGGAGATCTGGCTGCGCCGCCCCCCTGGCTTCACTGGGTCAGTTCCTCCTGGCACCCAGTGGAGGCTTCAGCGGCCGGTCTACGGTCTCCGCCAGGCGCCACGTGAGTGGCACGACACACTGAGGACGACACTTGCGGCTCTTGGGTTCGCTCCCTCTACTGCTGACCCGTCGCTGTTTCTACGCACCGACACCTCGCTGCCGCCGTTCTACATCCTCGTGTACGTCGACGACTTGGTCTTTGCCACTGCTGACACCGCGGCACTCGCTCACGTGAAGTCGGAGCTGCAGAGGAGACACACGTGCACAGACCTGGGTGAGCTGACGAGCTATCTTGGCTTGCGGATCACCCGGGACAGAGCACGGCGCACCATCACCCTGACTCAGTCACACATGGTGCAGCAGGTTCTCCAGCGCTTCCGCTTCACGTACTCCTCGCCTCAGTCCACTCCTCTGCCTACCGGTCACTCGCTCTCAGCTCTGCCTTCGGATGAGTCCGTAGAGCCGAGTGGCCCGTATCCAGAGCTTGTGGGCTGCCTCATGTACCTGATGACCTGCACTCGACCTGACCTTGCATACCCTCTTAGCATCCTAGCACGCTATGTCGCTCCTGGCCGTCACCGGAAGGAGCACATGGATGCTGCTAAGAGGGTGTTGCGCTACTTGTGCAGTACGTCGGGCATGGGGCTTGTGCTTGGAGGGCGAGACCGGGTTGTTCTCACAGGGCACTCAGACGCTTCTTGGGCAGACGACCAGGCTACTCAGCGGTCGTCTTAGGGTTACACCTTCAGCCTTGGCTCTGGCTCAGTTTCTTGGCGTTCTACTCGCTCTTCTTCTGTTCTCAGCTCCAGTTGTGAGGCTGAGATCTACGCCACAGCCATGGCTGCTCAGGAGCTACGCTGGTTGACCTACCTGCTGACCGACCTCGGAGAGCGGCCTCGTTCTCCTCCAGTGCTGTACGTCGACAACAAGGCTGCCATTGCCTTGTGTGAGGAGCACAGACTGGAGCACAGAACGAAGCACATCGCTCTGCGGTACTTCCTTGCTCGAGAGCTGCAGCAGCGTGGTCAGCTTTGTCTGCGTTACGTGGCCACGGAGGCCAACACTGCTGATGTGTTCACCAAGGCGCTTCAGCCTTGTGACCATCAGCGCTTTTGCACGCTGCTAGGCCTTGTACCTACTGGGCCTCACTTGCTTACCTCTTGACCTTGCTTGTACTGTGATCACTATATATATATGCCTACTTGTTTACTTTTTGCTAGGTTGTGATCACTGTATCTCTTGCTTTGTTATAAACCTGCATGTGAACTGGTCTTGTGACTGCTTGCTTGTGCTCGGAATTTGTGTGGAATCCTTGAGATCCACCCTGAGCTTGCTTTGCTTTGCTTTGACTGGTCTTGTGACCCTGTGGTTGTCTCCCACTGCGCCTATGGGGGTGTGTCAAACATTGCATGTTTATATTATGTAGGCTGTAGTGGGTTACACCTTAGGGGGTACTCAAAGTTAGGGTTTCCTACTTGTACCAAACTCTGTGCTAGTTCATCCCATTCCTGCTCAGTTATTCTGACACTTGCATGCGTGCACCCTCTTTCGTGCCTTTGCTCTTCCGTTGGCTTCTCACCCTGTCCGCCCCTCGTTCCATCCACACATGATTCTCCACGAACCCATGCGTGCAGGAGTGGGAGTTGGAGCTGCTGGATGTGTTCCGTGTGGATCGCAGTGGGGAGAAGCAGGCCTTCCGTGCCGACATCAAGAACCACATGCTGCTGTGGCACGGTATGCTCACATGCTGCTGTGGCACGGTATGCTCACATGCTGCTGCTCACCAGGAAGTAGTCCGCATTGCTCTGGTGTGGTTATGTTATCAATATGCACCTTCGATCAGACTCCTCGTCACCTCGTGCTGCCATCATCTAATTCCCTCATACGGTCATCGCCCAACCTTTTCCTTGCAGGTTCACGAGTGACCAACTATGTGGGCATCTTGAGCCAGGGGCTGCGCATCGCACCAGCAGAGGCACCTGTTACCGGCTACATGGTACGTACGCACCCCTGCTGCACACTGTTATGATGTGCTGCTCTGCTGCCACCATTCTTGTACCATGCCCCTGTGCAACAATCCCCTGTCGTTTCAGTGCACATGCTACTGCCGCCACTCCCTCCCCCACCATGCGACAGTTCGGCAAGGGGGTGTATTTCGCGGACCTGGTGAGCAAGAGCGCGCAGTACTGCTTCACCAGCCCGGACAGCAACATCGGCCTGCTGCTGCTCTCCCGCGTCGCGCTTGGCGCTCTCTATGAGCTCACTTCTGCTGAGGTGAATGCCACATTCACCCACTTCCTGCTGGCCAGCTCAGCGTCGTTCTCACCTCATTCCCCTTTGAACTGGTGGTGCATTTAGCCGAGCAAGCATCTCACAACCTCCCCTCTATCAGCATCTCCTGTTTTCCCTCGTGCTTCCTTCCCCACAGCTCTCGCAATCGTCTTGATAGGCACATTTTCAGATCCCTTTTCCACTGACGCCGCGGTATTTATCTCGAGTCCCCCTGATGCTGCGTGCTCTAACTGCCCTGCAGTACGTGGAGAAGCTGCCACTTGGCAAGCATGCAACCAAGGGGCTGGGGATGATGAAGCCCAATGAGAAGGAGTTTGTCAAGTGGGCCTCCGATGTCGTTGTGCCATGTGGCAAGCCCGTGCCGTCAGGCGTGAAGAACAGCCACCTGCGCTACAATGAGTTCATTGTGTATGATACATCACAGGTACTGTATACAATGCTGTGTACGTGTTTCTTACGTTTTCTGTTCATCATTTCCTGCAATGACAGGTTTTCTAAAGCATTTGCACTCACTTTTCCTGTTGGCAAATGTTACAGATTCAATTGGAGTTTCTCCTCAAAGACCGTGAAGTTTATCCACAAATAGCGATGGGAGGTGGTTTGGTGAGGCGTACTGGTTGGCCTTGCATGGCCCACTATTGTCACCACTGACTTGCCCTTCGCAAGGCATTCATGTGCGTGCTGCTTGTCTGTCTGAATTTTGAATGGGTGGAAGTGATCATTCTATATTAATATATGAAGCATTTGTTTCCGTGTTGATGGTAATGAGGGGACGAGGGAGCGACCCTACCCTATCGTTCAAGACGAAGCCCAAAAAGACGGACCTACAGAATCCGTTGAAGCACACTTCTCGCGACGATGCAACCTGCGCGCCTGGCTTGTCATGCTGTCTGTGACATGACATGATAGCTCCATGCCATGGCATGCCATGGATGGATCCATGGTAACGGAATAAGGGTGCCGGAGTCGCGTATTTTCGCCAATTGTGGCGAAACCGATTGCGAAGCATAACAATTCTGCAGCACGATCTCCCAGCCACGAATTCTGCCGCGCTCCGGAGTTCCCAAGAGGAGAAGGCCTTTGGGGTTGGGCAGCGAAGATCATCAAATTCACCTCGCTTGCATCAGTTGGGCCTCTTTCCTTTCCCCGCTTGCGTCGAGCGCCACAACAGAGCCTCACGTTGGCCTCTAGGCTCGCACGCGAGCCGCCTATCCTCGCGCACTAATTCACCCCTCTTTCCTCCGTTCCCTTCGAAATCTCGCCGCGATGGATCAGCTGGCGGCGGTGCTGCAGCAGCTGCTGCTGCCGGAGAACGAGTCGCGCAAGGCGGCGGAGGCGGCGTTCAAGCAGCTCTCAAAGGACCCCGCCGTGCTGCTCGCGCTGCTGCACTTCCTCAAGGCGGGCCCCTCGCCCGACGTGCGCCAGCTCGCCGCCGTGCTCATGCGCAAGAAGGTCGCGGGGCTGTGGGCGCAGCAGCCCGCGGAGGCCAAAGCCAGCATCAAATCCGCGCTCCTCGAGAGCATCGCGCTTGAGCCTAGGTACGACGCCCGTTCGATCGCCGTCTGACTACAAATCCCGTTCCGTCGCCCTTCCTCATTGCCGTAACGTAGGCACGCGCGGTGATACTACGAGTAGCGAGCTCACGAGTAGGGCAAAGGGCAAAGCGTCAACCGAATCTGGTGATCTAGGGATCGCGGAGTCTCGGGTTTGCCGAGCAATGCATTCTGGTCTGGATCGCACTTGTCAGCTGATAGACGAACGTCATCTCAGACCGATCCTTGGATTGCGATTTCGTACCCCTTAACCGCGCATTCCTCGTTCCCGTGTCTTGCGCCGCCGTCGTGCAGCCCTGTCGTGCGTCGCGCGAGTGCTGACGTGGCGAGCGTGATCGCGAAGCACAGCGTGCCAAACGGCGAGTGGCCGGAGCTGCTGCCGTTCCTGCTGCAGTGCTCGCAGGGGCAGCAGGAGGACCACCGCGAGGTGAGCCCCCCCTGCACCATGCGCCGCGCCTAATGGGCACTGCGCCTCCGCCGCTTCCATTCCCCCCGCCGTTCGCTCTTCCACTGCGCCCTTCACCTGTAAATTCCCCATCTCCGGGTCCGCTCTCCACTCTTCCCCTCCCGCTTCCCCCATCCGCTCATCCCCTTCCCCCCGCAGCTGGCGTTTATTCTGTTCGCGGCGCTGGTGGAGACGATCGGCGACGTGCTGCGCCCGCACTTCCCCGCGCTGCACGGCATCTTCGTCGCGGGCCTGCGCGACCAGGCCAGCGCGCGAGTGCGCGTCGCCGCGCTCAAGTGAGTGCCCCGCGCGCACACCCCCCGCACAGTTGCCCCACGCGCACCGTCCCCGCTGCTTGAGCCACCTGCTTTTTGGATACTGTCACCGTCCCCTCGTTGCCCTCCCCTTTTGCTTCAAATTCACACATCTGCACCTCCCCTGTGGATGCGTGGCTGTGCGGGGCTGTGAGTGCGCAGGGCAGTGGCGGCGTTGGTGGAGTATCTTGACAGCGAGCAGGACGTGGTGAGTGCCGCGCGCGCGCTGTGCGCGCATGTAGCACATTGCATTGCGCTGATCCTGCCTCTCTCCCGTCGCCATCCCATGCACTTGGCCGCTCCTGCCCTTTTCCTTGCGTCCGCCGATTCCCAACCCCCCTTCCCGACCTCACCTCGCCCCCCTTCCCCCTTCCCACCTCCCCCCTCCCCCTCCCTCTCCCCCTTCTCCCCGCCCAGGCGCTGATGCGCGACCTGGTGGCGCCGATGCTGGACGTGGGGCGGTTCTCGGCGGGCAGCGGCGACGAGGTGACAGTGGTGCGCGTGTGCGAGGTGGTGACGGAGCTGGCGGAGCACCCCGCGCCCGTCATCGCGCCCTCGCTGCCCGCCGTCATCCAGTTCGCCCTCGAGCTCGCCAGCAACACAAGCCTCGAACCCGCCACTCGCTTCCAGGTCAGCCGCCCCACCACGCCACTGCTGCGCTGCAATGGCGCAAGTGGCGCAGATGAGGCAAATGAGACAGATGATGCTAGCCAGGGAATTTGAACAAGGTACACGACCAACACACACCGGCATGAGGGAAACTCATTCCACATTCGATCGTGGTGAATGCAAACTGACAGACTGACAGAATCTGTGTTTGGGTGGTGCAGGCAGCGCAGGTGGTGGCGTGGTGTGCGGCGTGGAAGGCCAAGTGGTTGGCGAAGCAGAAGCTGGTGCCTGTCATCCTGGCAGCCATGGCGCCACTGCTCGCCGAGCCCTGTGGCCACACGGACTCGGAGCAGGACGAGGAGTACGACACCTCGCCCATGCGCTTTGCCGCCCAGGTGACACCTCGCCCATGCTCTTTGCCGCCCAGGTGACTGACTTTTTACAGCCCCCCTGCCAAATTCCCCTGGGCCACACACGCAGTGTTCACAAAGGCCCCGCGCATGAACCCTTTTTCATTCCCTCACTGCAACCCAACTTCCCCCCAACCCCCATCTCACCACCCCTCATCCCGCTCTCACCACCCTTCCCCGACGCCCACCCGATCCCCCCATCACCCTTCTTCAACCCCACAGGCCATAGACGCGGTGGCCATGGAGGCGCAGCGCAAGCACGTGTTTCCCACTCACACTCTCTTGACCCGCCACTCACTCTTTCGCATCCCCTCTTCCCCCTCGCCCCCCTCCACCTTTCTGACTGCCCCAACAGGCCATAGACGCGGTGGCCATGGAGGCGCCGCGCAAGCACGTGTTTCCGCCCATTCTGGCGTTCGCCCGCGCGCACATCACGGACACCAACCCCCACATGCGCTACGCCGCTGTCATGGCCATGGCTGTCATCACCGAGGGGTGCTGGTGAGTGCAGAGTGGTGCAAAGGGGTGCTGGTGAGTGCAGAGGGGTGCTGGTGGTGCAGGGGTGCACTGCAAAGGGGGGAGGTTGTCTTGTCAGTGTGCACCTCCTGCTTCCTCTCACAACCCCCTCCTCCTCTTCCCCACTCTTCCTCACCTCCCTCCCCTCCCCTTGCCCCCCAGTGAGGCAGTGCGGGGGCGCCTTGAATCAGACGTGCTGCCGCTCATAGTGGCGGGGCTGGGAGACGCGCACCCCAAGGTGCGGGGAGCGGCGTGCTTCGCGGTGGGGCAGCTGTCGGAGTTTGTGCAGCCCGAGGCGTCGGAGCACTACAAGACAATCCTGCCAGCTGTCTTCGCCGCCCTCAACGACGCCTCGCCTGTTGTCAGGGTGAGTGTAAAGGGAGGGGATTGATGAAATAAAATATTTCTTTGCTGTATTCAGTTTTGTGTCTCCCTCTCAACCTGTGCTCTCTTGTTCTCTCCCTTCCCTACCCTCCTCCCCTCCTCCTGCTGCTCAGGAGAAGGCGTACTACGCGTTGGCGGCATTCTGTGAGCACATGGGCGATGAGATCCTGGAGTTCCTGGACCCGCTCATGCGCCAACTCATGGATGCTCTCCGCTCAACCGATAGGGACCTGCAGGAGATGTGCATTGTGAGTGCCATGTGCTGCCATGTGATGATGCGATGCAAGGTGTTGCAGTGCGATGGCATGTGATGGAACGTGTGCAATGAGCAGCCACACGTGGTATATACATGTGGCTTTTGGAACATTGCTGCTCATTACATATGCCAAAAGGCGGATTCCCGTTCTCAGCATCATTCTCCTCCCTTTCTCCTCCATCCTCTGAAGGTTCATGTCACAGCCCTTGTCATCACCCCCCCCCCATCCACCTCTCATCCAACCCACTCCCCTCCTCCCCTCTTTCTCCCAGCAGTGCGCCGTAGGTTCAGCAGCAGCAAGTCCCAAGTTATCTCCCCACTCTCCCCTTCCCTTCCCACAACCAACCTTCTCTTCCCTGTCAGTCCGCCATAGGCTCTGCAGCAGCAGCGGCAGGCCCCAAGTTCGCGCCGTACAGCGACGCGGTGCTGGCGGCGCTCATCCCGCTGGTGTCCCTCACGGCGGAGGCGGACGTGGACGTGCGGTCGCGCGCGTACGAGCTGGTGGGCATCATTGGCATCGCCGTGGGGCGACAAGCCGTGGAGCCCGTGCTGCCTGGCTGCATGGACGCTGCACTTAAGGTGAGGGGTGTGGGGTTGGGCTACTCACACTCCGCCCATGAACGGACTCTGGCTTATTTGCTGCTCTTGCATCTGACAGGGTTCAGACCATCGCACTCCCTTGTTCACCCACCAGATCTGCTATCCGATCAAATGCCCCATACCCCACGCCCCACGCCCACTAACGTGCTGCAGGGATTCGCCCTGGACCAGAGTGCGTTGAGGGAGTACGCGCACAGCTTCTTCAGCGGCGTAGCTAAGTTCCCTTGTGCACCCACCGCACATGACCTCCCACACCCCGTGCGCACCTCCCCCATGGCAGGGCTTCGCCCTGGACCAGAGTGCGTTGAGGGAGTACGCGCACAGCTTCTTCAGCGACGTTGCCAAGTTCCTCGAAGCTGACTTCGCCCCCGTGAGTTGCTGGGTCCCTCGTACCCTTGCTGCTTGCTCCCTTGCACCTACCCACTCGCCTCGCACCATTCGCCTCGTATTCACTCTCCGACTTGATATTTGATTTCCGTGCCTCTCCCATTCCACCACCCGCTACTCCCCTCCCTCTTCTCACTCACTCGCCTCCCCTCCCTCCCCTCGACCAGTACCTGCAACACGTGGTACCGCTTGCCTTCTCCTCCTGCCGTCTTGACGATGGCATCGTGGTCGGCCCAGCAGCCACCGACCACCTTGGAATCAAACCGCATGCCACTCTCATTCCACCTCCTCTTCTCCCCCCTCCTTACCAGTACCTACAACACGTGGTGCCCCTCGCCTTCTCCTCGTGCCGTCTTGACGATGGCATCGTGGTCGGCCCAGCAGCCACCGACGACGATGCTGCCGACGCGGAGGGTGGCGGGCGCCGGCAGCTAGCGGCAGCGCTGGCAGCGGGGGAGATCTCGTCAGACTCGGAGGATGAGGACGAAGAGGGGGCACTGAGGGGGCTGCGGGGCATCAGTGTGCGCACGGCCGTGCTGGATGAGAAGGCTGCTGCTGCTCAGGCCATCGGCGCGTATGCGCAATACACCAAGGCTGCTTTTGGCCCGTGAGTGCTCTCACACTGCCTGCTCTGCACTCAGTGCATGCATGGTACGTTGACTGACCTGACTGCATGATGTGGCATTCCTGCCCTCGGACTTGTGCTGACCTCAGTGCTGTGGCTACCAAAGGATTGCAGTGTTCGTCATAGCACGGATGTCGGAACCAGCAAGCACGGCGTGCTTCTTTCACATACCCCGGCCTCCCTCTTTCCCACCTCCACTTGGGTGTGGCAGGTACGTGCAGGAGGCGGTGGGGGTGCTGAAGGATGGGGCGGACTACGCACATGAGGACGTGCGCCTGCAGGCAACGCTCTCCCTGCAACGTTAGTGACCCTCTCCACCCGACCCTCCCCCTCCGCTCCCTGCATTCACTGCCGCCACCTGCGTCCAACCAAGCATGCCCACCAAGTAGCATGTCATCCACCTTTCACACTGTCTGTCTCTCTTTTGTCGTCCGCTCAATTCTCTGCCGTCAGGGCAGCCCTCACATGTAGCAACGCCTCCCCCTTCTTCCCCCCACCCTCTCCCCTTCCTCCAGATCTGGTGACAGCAGCGCTGCATGCCTTCCCATCCGCCCCGGGCCAGGTACACTCCATCCCATCCCACAGCAGCGCCTGGCTGATGCTGTGGATGCTGCCGTGCCATGCTCTCTCTGTGTTGCTTCAAATTGCATAAATATCCTTTTGCAGAAGTCTACCTTCTTCCAGCTTATCCTTCTGTACGCATAGCACCCACTCGTTGCACTCACTCTTTGGCCTCGTCCTCTCCCCCACGCGTGTGCCACCCCACTTGCCTCGCTGTGCATGGCATGGCGCACACGTATCGACCATGCGTGCGACACTGCTCTGCGCTACGTGCTGCGGCCACTGCAACCAGCCCATGAGCGCGGAGACAAAGCATGTCTTTGGTGAGCCCCATGGACCAACACCGCATCCTCCCCTCTCGCCCTGCCTCGCCCTCGCCTTCATCTTCATTCTCACTGCTTTCTCTGATATCCCCTGCTGCCAAATCCATTTTTTCCCACCCTTTTGTTATGCCCAACCGCACCTACTGCCGACATCGTTCCCTCTCACACTAACCTCTGTGTGCTGCTCCCAAATTCTCCCCCTTCCTCTCCCGCGTCTTCTCCTTCTTCACCTTCCTTCTGTCACTCAATCAGACGTGGCGATGGAGGTGTGGATGGGGGCGATGAGGGATGATGAGGAGCGCACAGTGGTGGGGCAGGCGTTCAGCTGCGCCACCGACACCATCAAGGCGCTTCTTGCTGCTGACCCCGCCAACCAGCCCGCCCTGTTGCCATGTGAGTCCATGAGAGGGGAATGGTTATCCGTCTGTGCTGTGTGTTGCCAACTTGCTTTGCTATGTCCTCCGCGGCCACCCCTGCTCCTGAATCCCCTCGCCTTCTCTCCACCCTCTGCCTTGCACCCGTCGTTCCCTGACCCCTGCCTTTCCTCAACCCATCCTTGGTCCCAACGCCCCCCTCTCTCCCAACCCCCTGCTGTTCAGACGCGGAGCCTCTGGTGGCAGCGGTGCGGGCAGCACTGCGGGACGAGCTGCCGTGCCAGCGGGCAGCCAGCGACGCGGAGACAGGCGGTGAGGGGGCAGCGGGGCTGACGGAGGCAGCGGAGGAGGAGGAAGAGGAGGAGGAGCACGACGAGGAGCTGCTGGACGCCGCTGTTGACCTGCTGCCCGCTGTCGCGCGCGCCGTGGGCGCTGCTGCCTTCGCCCCCGTCTTCCACTCGCTCCTGCCCGACATCCTCGCCTTCACGGTGCCCCTCGCCACCACCTTTGCACTCTCGCTCCCTTGCTCCCTCACACACTTGGATCGTACTCTTCACCTAGCCTCACGCGCTGCTGCCTTCGCCTCTGTCTTCCACTTGCTGCTGCCCGACATCCTTGCATTCACGGTGCACCCCGCCACCACCCTCACTCCCTCTCTCCCTCCTTCCCTTGCTCCGTTGCAGTTGTGCTCACTCGTGCTTTCATGCTGTTGCTCGCTGTGGCATGCATGGGCCGGCTATGCCACTGCCTGCGCCCTCCCTTAACACTTCTTTCACCAGTCTTCACGCACATGATCTACACTCCCTCCCTGCCTTGTCCCTTCCTTCCTTACTCCCACTGTCACCTCTCACACTCTCCAGTGTCTTTACCACTCAGCCTTGCTTCGTTTCTCACACCTTCCTCAACCCTCGTCCCCTCTCCGTCTCATCGCCTCTTACCTCTTCCTCATCACCTCATCCCCTCATCCCCTCTTCCCCCTGCCCCATTGCTCATCGAGCAGAAAGCCTCTCGCCCGCCCAGCGATCGCAGCATGGCGGTGGGGTGCATTGCTGACGTGGCAGGGGAGCTGGGGGAAGCCATGGCTCAATACGTGGACGTGAGTGCACGTGGGATGGGGTGTGGCATGGGATGGGGTGTGGCATGGGATGGGGTGTGGCATGGGATGGGGTGTGGCATGGGATGGGGTGTGGCATGGGATGGGGTGTGGCAAGGAATTTTCTCTCCCGTGGGGTATGTTGCAGTGCTGCGGTTGTGTAGGTGCCCCATCCGTTGTTTCTTCCCCTTCCTCCAGCACTTACTTAACCTAATAACACAACACACTCATCACCCATCCTGCATCCCTCTTCTCTCACTCCCCTCGTCCCCATCTCTCTTCTCGCCCTCCACCCCCCCTTCACCCACGTGCAGACGCTACTGCCCGTACTGGCATCAGAGCTGAAGGGCGGAGACCCCCCCAACCGCCGCAACGCTGCCTTTGCCGTTGGCAAGCTGGCTGAAGTGACCGGCGCGGCCATGCACAGGTGCGTGCTGCCATGCACAGGTGCGTGCTGCCATGCACAGGTGCGTGCTGCCATGCACAGGTGCGTGCTGCCATGCACAGGTGCGTGCTGCCATGCACAGGTGCGTGCTGCCATGCACAGGTGCGTGCTGCCATGCACAGGTGCGTGCTGCCATGCACAGGTGCGTGCTGCCATGCACAGGTGCGTGCTGCCATGCACAGGTGCGTGCTGCCATGCACAGGTGGGGCAGTGTGAGCGATGCTGAACCCACAACACGTCTTGTGCTGCTCCATACAATCACCTCAGTGTCGTTTCAATTCACTTCACTCTCATGCCACCCTTATGCCTTGCATCCTATCAGTGTTTCATATCACATGCACGGCTCAGGCAGGCACTCCTGTCGACTGGCTATTTGCCACGGACCTCACTGTCACTCCCTCGGCCTTCCACATGCCACCTCATGCCACTTCCCCTTCCCCTCCCCCCATCCATTCCCCACCACCAGGCACTACCCCGACATTCTGTTGGGCTTGCACCCGCTCTTCTCAGCGGACGAGGATGAGGACGTGAGGGACAACGCTGCTGGCGCTGTCGCACGCATGATCGCTTCTGGTGGCGCTGCCATGCCTCTCGACCAGGTCCGTATGCTGCCATGCCACTTGACCAGTCCTGATGTTGCTCACTCCCTGCCAGTGAAGAGTTCTGTCCACCGCCATGCCATGAACCCATGTCTTTCCAGCTTTCATCTCTCCCTCACCCCTTGGCTCACCCTCACTGCTCTCCCTCTGACCAGGTGCTGCCAGTGCTGGTGGCGGCGCTGCCACTCAAGTCAGACCTGGAGGAGGCCAAGCCCGTGTACGGCTGCCTCGTGGCCCTTGTTGCCGCCTCACACCCCCAGGTACCTACCTGCACCAAACCCCACCATAATGTGCACAATCATTCACTTGCGACTCCACCCTCCTTATCTTGCATCACATGTCATAGTTCCCGTTCACACCACCTTTCTCGTATGCGTGTGCTGCACTCACGACTGTGCTTCTTTTTGCAGATTTTGCCAGTGGTGCCGCAGTTGGTGCCTGTATTCGCAGAGGTGGCGGTTAACGATAAGATCGCACCGGAAGTGCGTCTCTCCGTGGGCCAAGCCTGCTCCCAGCTGGCCCAGGTCTTCGCAGATCAAATGCAGCCACTCCTTGCAGCGCTTCCCAGTGATCGTGCCGCCGCTCTTTCCTCCTGTATGGCTGGCACCTTGCCTCCTGCATCCAGTTAGAGGCTGCAAGACACAACATATTATTTCTTTTGTATTAGTACGTATGTAGGTACTAGGTAGTCATCTACTAGTTAGGTAGGATTGCGTTGGAATAGAATGAAGTAGGGTTGTCAACAACTATTTCTGTAGTAGTCACACATTGAGATTGTATTTTTCACGTGAAGGCAAGTGTACATAATTACTCAACGCGAGCAGGGATTCCAGTTTCCAAATGTCGGCTGCTAAGTGGACCACAGCCAGCACCGCGATGAGGTGCGCTCTTGCACCTCCCGCTGAATTGGAATCCATGCCTTGGGAATGTCAAGCCGCGCGCTGACGTGTATCAAACCCCTCGATTTCCTCATCAACGTCAATCGCCCTGAAGAAGCTTCTTTGAGCGGAATTTGGAATGCGCAGTCTGACGTGGCGCCCTGCCTCATCCTGGCAAGCAATCTCATCCCTCTCCGCTTCGCCCTCCGTTCTTTCTTGTCTCTCCACTTGCTGTTTTCGCAAGCGGCTCCTTAGTGCACCGCATCGGACGGAATAGTACACGATTTTAGGGGCGCCTCTCGCGTTTCTTGCGTCGTAAACGGCAAGTCATCAATTCTCCGTCGCCACGAGCATCCAGCAACGATGGCTGCCGCGTGCTCCTCGTGCGCCATTCAGGCTGCAAACCTATGCTTAGTGGAGCGAGGGTCGCAGCCCACAGCCGTTAGGGCTCCCAAGGTGCAGGTGAGCAAGCATTAGTGCGCTGGTTAGCGTCCCCGCCTTGCGATTTCATGTAGCGTATGCGCTAAATTCACAATGTTTCTTCATTCCCCGATCCTCCGTGCCATGCAGGCCGCATTCCTCGGCCAAACTCTCGGTTTGAACTCGCACACGGCGATCGTCAGTCAGAAGGTGGTATGGATTCTAAGCATCGCGCACAAATCAGTTTTATTTCGCGACGCGTGATTGGCCCCATTCACCGGCTACTGTGGAGCTTTTGAGTCGACGCTTAATTCATCGTATGATTGCTCACATGCATTGCTGCTGAACAGCTCCGTGACGTTTGAAACCCTCTAAGATTGGTTTTCCTGCGACCAATTCAGTTCTGTCTCATTCACAATTCTGTCTCATTCACTCATTTTACTTTCCTCACATCCCATCGCTGCCTGGGTTCAGCTCGTGGCAGCAGCGGCGGTGAGGGGTGTCAGGTGCAGCGCAGCGGCAGCAGCGGAAGCCGGTAAGTGCAGATGGCAGGCTCTTTCAGCTTTGCACCTCCATTCTCTCGCATACGATCCCCATCATCCCTCCCTATCCCGCATGCGCACCCTCCTCGCATCCCAACCCTTGCATGCCGCACCATGCTAACAAGGCCGCAAGTGCCGTCTTCCTTGCTCCATGCTCCTATCCACCCTTCCACCCTTCCAAACTCCCCAAGTCCCCTCCTCCCCACATTTGCTTCAACCTTTCCTCGCCGTTAATTGCTGAAATGCTTAGACCCGGAGCTTTCTCCTCAAGGGAATCAATTCCTCCCCAATTCGCCCTTCCTTCCAACCTCCAGTTTCCGCCCCTCC